ACAGGTGTTGTGATAGTGACTATTAGATTACTGGTGCTTCTAAACTAGAATCAAATCTTTTTCCACGGCCCTTTTGGAAGGCTGTTGGTTTGCTCAGGTGATAGCTTGCTGAGCACAGCAGTACAGTTAGGGCAAGCAAAGGGAGATGCTTGCATCTAGAGTCATGCAGGATGAAGCACTGGTTTTACTGGGGGTTCATCTGCAGAGGCAAAAGAGGAGCAGGCACATGAAATTATGCACCCTCTTTTCCATTACTCCAACACCAAGCACTAGGTGGATACCAGCACTTAAAAATTTCAGCTGAACATCTGCAAAGAATAATTTAAAGCCTGTTGTGAAGACACACCTTACATCCATTGTAAAGATAGAGGGCACCAACCATAAAGCACCACTTTGCCATATCAAACTCTGCAGATAAAGCTAAAAGTTGAAAAAAACAAAATAAAATTGCAGTTTTAAGAAAATCTGTAGTCTTTGTCTCACTTCTCCCAAGGTTTGTGGTTTGTCAGCCTACAATGCAAAGTACTTCTAGGTACTGTTTTATGCCTACCCCAAATTCCTGTGCCTGGCACAATTTGAAATGGTCTTTAAATGGCCACATCAACCAGGTCCTTACATCACTTTTGCCTTCCTGTCCGATGCTGGATCAAAAGAGGGGATCAAAATCCACAATTAGGCTGAATTTTCAGCTTAGGTGACTGCTGCATGTGGTAGAATATTTATCTGCAATGGTTGCAATGAGAAGAAAACATCCTTAGGGCTAATTTAGCCTCATAACCCAGCAAACAGAGGCTAATTGTCACTGCTAGTAACAGGCCACAGGCTTTATGCTGACTTTGTAAGGCCTCAGGACTGAGGCTTGTCAGGACTGCTTTGTCTGAACTTGCCTTAACCTGCCTCGAGCTGTCCCTCATTTGTTTAGCTGTGAAAGCAGCTTTTCTAATGATGAGAAAATTCAGGTTTATTTGTAGGATTTAAAGGTCAGTGATGAAAAACAAGATATAACTTTGTAGCTCTAATAAAAATGCCCCTAAAATAGCAAAAAATAAGGACAAAGAAACAACATGAATTCATGCTTACCCTACAAAGGACCTGGGATGCTGACAGCTGGCAGTATCCTCACTATCCTCACTGTAGCCACTGACCATTAGACCCAGAGGATCAGAGCAGGTGCCAATAAACATCAGAATTAGGGGTAGATAGTAGGAAGTGTGCATTGAATAACTTTAGCTTTTTCTGGTTTTCCATTAGTAGCATCGTAGTATTCTTTTCTGTTCTCTCTTCTTGTCTCTTCTCTAATTAGATGGATCTAAACTAATAACAATTCATATACTAGACTGTTAAAACTTATTACACTAACAATAAATTCTCAACTTTACATCCATGGCTCCCAACAGCTTTTGAGTGCAACACTAATTCAGGCAGAAGTGACCTGCTGGACAGGACAGTGCTGCAGAAGCATCTGTGGGACCTCAGCACAGTGTCCAAGGACTGCTGTCATTTGGAAAACTCACCTGCTCCACATGAAGTGCTCCAGCAGCACACTGGCTTTGGGTCAGCCCAGAACACCTGTAACAGGGCACAGTCCTGTTATTCATCTTGCAGAGCTAATGAAATGATTCTGTTAACATCCTTGGTCATGCACCTTCCTCACATTCCTGTTTCCTGACAAGGCCTTGCAGATGTGTTCTTCTTTTTTTTTATTTAGAAGAACAGATAAATATTTTGCCGAAGATATCAAGCACAGAACCTTGGAAAGCATCCAAATAAGCTGCATGGAGAAACCACAGTTGGAAGGTTTCAATGGCTACTTTAATGAATTAGTAAATAATATGGAAAATGGGCTTTCTTGATTCTCAGGTATTGATCTCCAGCTTCTAAAATCAATAGAGTGACTCTGCAACAGGAGAGGCTTGTGAGGGCAAAGTTCAGCTAGTCCCTGAATGATGCAATGTAAAAAGGGGTAGTTCATGGAATCAGGTGGTAGAGTCATGAACCTGCCTTTGTGAATATGACAGTTAGTCACTGTGTTGAAAACATTTGCCTTGAGGGAAAGGGAAATGTTTGTATTGCAAGATACTGTAAGGTGAACAAATTTGAATTACCTCAGAGTAATATCTCTGCATAGACATAGCCCTGGAGTACACACCCTTTCAGCTTGACCTGCTTCAGAATAGGTCAAGCACATAATAAATCATGGCAATGGAATTCACAGTGACATTGCTGGGAAGTCACCACATGCTTAGCAGTGAAGGGGGACACATCTTCCTGAAAAGCAGTATTAAACATGCCTCTTCAGAAATGCAAATTCTCTGCCTGCATCCTTTCAGCCAGTATTCAAGAAAGCATGGAGGCAGACATGCAAATGTGTTGGTCATTATTCTGCTTAGTGAGCTCCAAATCTATTATTAGTCTTCTATGCACATACAGAACCATATTTAAATCTTATTAAAATGGCTGTTTGTCTAAAATGACTCTGCCAAAGCCAGTGTTGACTTCACATGTAATGACAGAGAAATTGTCATTCAGTTCATGCTGTGTGAGAGCACAGAAAATATCCAACCTCTTAAAATCATCCCTCTATAGAAAATTTCATGCAAAATTACTGTCAACTGTTAAGAAAAAAAAATTGTTTAGAAAATGTTTGTCCCATGCACTGCATAAGAAGAAACAGATTAGTGAAGTATTTTGACATTATAGAGAAAAAATTGGTATATTGAATTAATTTACCGTATTTTTCACACATTTCTTTATAAATATTTTTACACAAAGGAAGTATATAAATACAAAGGAAAAATATTTTTGTTTGAAATCTACATGCTATCAAATAAGTTTTCAATGTAAGTGCTAAAAAAATGGAGTGGTCAAAAGCATGATTAACACACATTTTATAAAGACAATGTAACAAGAGGTATGCAACAGACTGTATTCCATTCCACAATGCATACTGCTTGTTTAGCACAGTGCTGAAAAGCTGCATCCCTTTGTGTTTGTTAATGAATCCATTTCTGGTGAATGTGCAGGCAAACAATAAAAAGGCATTGGCAAACTGGAGGCTATTTTAACCACATATACACAATGGCTATGTAGTTGCACAGAATGGTAACACAGAAGTAAACATGGAAGTGAAACAATTTCAAATGTCATTCTGTTTTTACAAAATGTCAAGTTCCCTAAGTTGAAGAAAAGAGAAGCCCATATAAAAAGCAAAATGTCAACGCTGTTCCAACAGCAGGGAAACCAGTAAACCTGCTGGTAAGAACCAAGATAGCAAAAATCCAAAAGAAATGGTGACTGAACTCTCTGAAATGTCTGTGCACTTTCCACGATCATTCAGTCTTGTAACAGTACTTCAGGGTAAAGGTATGGATGGAGTATGAAAATACAATGCAAACAATACAAATCAGATACCATTAATGCATGTATAGGGTCTTCCACCAGTCTCTGCATTTCAAAATGCTGTAAGCATCATCGTCAAGGAGGACAATGTCAGTTGAGACCTGCATTGTGGGGCTGATGGTGAGTGAAAAAAGAAATTATGTCTTTTCAAAATAGTGTATGAATTAGTCCTGACGGGTAATGAGTTAAGCATAAACCTTTGACCAGTATTCTGCCTTTAACTCATTTTTAAAATTGTCTGTTCAGTGGTAAGCATCCCCTGCGAAGAGAGGAGCTGAATATTTGGAAAATCAAAGTTCCTAAAACTTAACAGGGAAGAATGACCCAAGTAACACCCTGCTATTATGAAGAAAATTATCAAAACCTAAACTTAGAATACCACTGCAGAGACTCTGGATACATCCAACTCCAGATGTTGATTTCCACTCTTAGTCCTCAAAACACTTTTGCTGCAGAGACTTTTTTCTCCTTTGACATGTGTTTTTGAAATTTACTCAAGAAAATGTACAAAATTTCTACTCTGGTCTGGAAAATCTATATTTTGTTTAGACGGACTCCTAGAAACTGTTACTTGTTCCTCATGTGTCATAATGAAATTGCAAAATGGAAGATGAATTTGTCACACTAGATTTGTTTCAAGAAAAGATCAGCTATATTTTGATCTCAGCTGATCAGAACACCTTTCTTGTTCTGTTTTGATTTGTTTTCCCTTGCAAGCATCTAAGAAAAGTCAGAATCTTAGTCTAAGTCTACAGAGACTTCAGTTGTAATCCTCATTTATACAAAACACTAATGCAGATCTTGGATTTCTATTATTAAAATATCCATGTATTTGATATTATTAGAATCTCCCTAAACATTTTGAAACAATGATCACTGTTTTTCAACAGTTTAAGGCTGTCAGCATGCTTTGGGCTGGGGACAGATGTGATCCTGAAAGCAAGATTATGCCACTGAAGTTCAAGGACAGATTAAGAACACGTCTACACGTGGCTTTCCAGGTCAGACTTCTCCAAACACAACTGTATTTTGCCACTCTGACCTATTTCAGTGGATGAGAACTGCCATGTCATGCCATTCAGAAAGAGAAGCTAAGCAGCATGCATGAAATCAGCAGTGAAAGAGGGGACTGCATAATTTTTCCTTGCCTCCAACAATATTGTTTTGATCTGAAAAACACCATGGCTACAAAGAAACCAGCTGCATAAGTAAGGATAAAACTAAGACTGGTTAAAAATGTGTTCAGTTTGAGAAATCTTCTGATAAAGTTATTACAGTATAATATTGCTCTTCCTCTAAGAGCTTTTATAATGAGCTTGTCAGTAAATGAGCTTATGAGGGAGACTGAATTGGAACAAAGGAATATCTATATAGTTGGCATCTGTGGACTGTACCTACTTTTATCTGCCCCTGAGAAAACATCTCCCTTTCACCCAGCCCAATAAACATTTATTTAAGAACAGAACTTGTATCTATTAAGTTTAAAAGAAGAGAAATACATATATTCACAATTCTTCTTTAGAAATTAATTTAAAAATCCCTAATTTGTTCAATTAGTCACTCTGCTTTCTCAACTGTTGGTAAAACAGGGGCCATAAGCCACTTTAACATTCAGTTTCTGTGGATGCATTTTCTTGCCTGGTTTTCTGTTCTTCTGTTGCACTGCCAAATGCTACCACCAAATTAGTTACACTGCTGGCATGTCCTGGTCTATTTAATTTGTCCTTCACAGACTTGGCTTTCCGGGAATGGCTGTGCAAACTCTTGGAGCGTACTGATGGGAACCCAGGAGTCCTTTCGGGCTTTGCTGACAGGAAATTCTCCTTCTCAGCCTTGACTGGGGCAGGCATAGAGGTGTAAGAGGCACTCATACCTGCTTCACCAACATTACAATCATCATCTGTGTCCATCTGCTTCTCCTCTGCTTGCCTTTCTGCTTCAGAGATCAACCCAGGGTATTCTGGAGGACGCTCTTGAGAAAGCTGCTGCTCAACTTCGTATTTCCACTCCGTGGCCCACTGTTCAATTGCAGAAGGGCACACCTGATCCATAATGGTACTGTACTCCGAGGTCCAGTTGTTAACCCCTCCAACCAGCTTTCCACCTTGTGCAAAAATAAAGCTCCTTGACTTCATCATAGTGGTTTGACAAGCACTGAAAGTTTCAGGAGGAAAATAGCGCATTGCTTTGGATTTGTCCAAGGGATAAGAGATGGTCGCTTCTAACTTGGTACGTTCTACTTTTAACTGAGCGTTCTGAAAATCTGTTCCTGCTACTGACTGACTGTTTGTAACAGCATTCATCTGGTTTACACTTTGAGGAATCATTCCATCGCTACTGAAAACTCCCTGCTTTTCACTCCCCAAACCGCCTGAACCAGAATGGGCTCTGGAAACATTCTGTGCAATTTCTAATGTAGATTTACTGTGATCTGCTGTAGCGACTGCATTAGGACTCGAGGTATGGAGTCCAGTTTGTTGTTCTGGAACCAGCATCCTTGGGTCTGCTGCATCTTCTCTGGTACCAATAGAGTTGGCTTTTTTACGCATGGCTGGTGACATAGGCGTGGTGCTGTCATCGTAGGTCAGCTCGTCACCACTGATGTGGTATTTGTACATGCTGTAGCCATCAGAGCTGTTGACACTGCTCTGCCTCAGGAGATAGGCAGCATCACACTCTGACGAGGCCCGCGAGCGCGTGTACGTCAGCTCGGATTTGTCGATGCCCGCCAGCTTCTCCAGGGCATTCACCATCCGACTGGAGAGCTCCTCCAGCTGGGACAGCCGCAGGTCGACTGTCTGGAGAGAAGCTTTCATAAAGTGTTCTCTTTCATTCACTTCTTCTAGCCTCATCGACATATTTTCAACTCTGTGGAGTATAAAAAAGGAAGCAGAGAACAGAATGTGTAGAATGGTGCAGTAACCCATTATAGGCGCCCAGCTCCTGATCTCTTCCTAAGGCAGAGTTTTGTGGTGTGTATCATGCCTTGTTCTTTTTTCCTATGGGTAGCAACAAAAGCAGGAGCATTTTCTTTTTATCTATGCTTTCTGTACACCATATTAGAGGGGTATTTGAACTTTGCCCTTATATTCATGGCAGGAGAGCCCCTAGGGACAGACTTCTATTAACATTTCTGCGTCTGCCACCCACTGTGTGCTCAGTTCTCTTTCACTGTGATGCATCAAATTAATTACATGAAAAGTACTTTCTAATGACATGCTCACAGGGTGACTTAAAATAGCATCAAAGCATGTTGTTAAACAGGTTCTGCAGCAGTATGAGAGAGAAACATCTACTGGTGTTGATGGGATTGCTTTTGCTCTTGAAATACCTTTCTATTTTGTATCAGCTGAAGGGAGGGGAACTATTGCCTAGTTCAATTAAAATAATACTTTTTGCCATTTTCTTCTTATCATTTATGTCGTAGTGGATGTGATGGCACTAGAAAAATGCATATAAAAATAATTAACTGGAATGTGGCTTAGAGATCACATACTAATAAATCTACTGTGGAAATTAAATGAACATTTTCTAGCTCCCATACACAAAAGATGATGAATCATCTGAAGCAAGGAGCCATGAGAAATAAGCAAATCTGCTTTGTGGCCGTAGACCATAGTGAATCAGTGAGGCTTATCAGCCCTTCTTTATTCTCTGCCACAATGCCTAGGAATTTGACAAATTGCCACAGATAACTAGTGTAATAGAATATATGTAGCAGGTTTAATTTACTTCTCTATTCTCAAATTTCAAATATAATAATGCAAGATGTTCAGGGCCTCTCTTGAGAAAAAGAATTTTATCTATTAAAGAATTATATGGCTCACAGAGCTTATTTATAACAAATGTTAAAAATAGATATATAGTTAAATATGTACGTGGAGTATTTCATCAACAGAATACTGTGAGTTAGAGTAAGGTGAAAGAGTGTTTAAAATGTGTATTGTTTTCATTACAAGGAGAATTTTTCTTCATTTCAAGGAAGTGACAAAAGACCCCATCTCTTGACTGACTTAGATCTACTGACAGAATAGGCAGAGCCTTTGGGTACAGTCCTGCCAAGTGACCTGGTAAAAAAGGCTGCTGCCATTAGCACTGTGTGCTTACACAGCAATGTGCAAACAGTACCTAGTCCTCAGAGCAAGCATAATGATTAACATGAGAATATTCCCCATCTTTTAAATGGGGAAGTTCATACTGAAAAGCTAAATGCCTTGCTCAAAGCCTGCAAGAGAATCTGTGGCAGAGATTAAAATTCAGCGGTTGTGAGTGCCAGACCCTAATGTAAACCACAGGTCCGAGGGAAGAACCCTCAGTGCTTTTGTCATTAAGGTCCAACATGTTTCTCATGGTTGGATGAACTGTTGGAAGCTCAACAAGCAGCGATTTTCTCAAATGGATAAAAAGCATCACTGTGATCCTCAGGTGGATAAGAGGTATAAAATTCACCATAAGCAAAGATGTTCTTATAACAAAGCTACCCAAACCACCAGATTTAGTGATATAACAGAAGGAATAACAAGAGGTTTGCTGTTTTGAGAGATGCACCTGCTCAGATAGTTATTTGGGATTCAGATCAGTTTCTGAGTTGGTGGTGGCTTTCTTCAAGATCAAAATCTTTTGTATTTTCACTCAACCGTGGGTATAAATAAGATATTAAAAAGACTGTTCCCAACAGATGGAGTGGATTTTTTTGTTACAACAGATACCTTTCAGAGGTAACTCTGATGCGTTCATCATTAGATGACTGCTGCTCATCTTCCTTCTCCTGGAAGTATTCTTCTACACACTGCTCTTCAAACTCATAGAGTTTTTTTAGCTCTTCATCATTCAGAAATAACTCTGTGCAAAAGAGAAGCACAAAAGAGGAGTTTCCTTTTTCTGAAACTACTGGCAGACAGTTTAAATCCAAATTAGCAGTTTATTTTGGACATGGCCATACTGCAGATTCTGTCCTGCACTAAATGAACAGATGATTTTTTAAAATAAGCAATAAGCACTTAGCTAAAGATGGGCAGAGCTGTGAAGGCAATGGAATGCATTATGAGCACTCTTCTTCTGCTTCTATGGCCATCCACAGGGGGCTCCATGTTCTGAGTGACTTTGACACTGTTTAACTGCTGTGCATTGAACAAACTGACCAGATTTTACAAGGTAAAGACATGGGCAATCTCTGCCAGTTTGACTGTTCCTTTATTCAAGCGTTATTCTTAAAAGGATGAGAGTTATAGGCAACAAATAAACTTAACAGAGTGTTCACAGATATTCTTTGGATAAGATGTTAAGAAGTTTCTAATCACATAAGAAAAATCCAAGGGGAATTTTGGGAACAACTCATCCTTTATCTGGATTTGTCTCTTTGCCTTTGGAAGTAGTGCTACATTTCCTTTTTTTCATTTTTCATTTTCCTATTGTGCAAAAATGTTCCTGTGAAATGTAGAAATAGAGGGATGTTGTGAGCCTCTGATTATTTCCATGAAGCATATAATGAAAACACTAATTCACAGTTAGAAAGTATGTTAGGAGAAGAATCCTCACAGTTTCCCTGTGAAGTGACAGATAAATCTTTAAATGATAGTGGGGACACTCGCAGTCCCAGACTGCTCACAGTCACAGAGCTGACACTATAGCTGACATTTGAAATTCTACCTCTTCTGTAATTCTTATTTGCCCCTCCCAACATATGGGCTTCACCAGAATTTGGTAATCCCCTGGTTTGAGTAGATACTATCTCACTGTTTTAAGGAAGCATGTTAAAGGAGGTCTTTATCAGCATCTGAGAGTTGCAAATTCTCAGGCACCCACAGAGCCCAAGAGCTGTTAACTTGATACAAATACTGGCCCACATTGTCTTCTGCCTCTATGGTGCAAAGAGCTCAATTTAGAGAAGATTTCTTGCATACTCAGTCCCCTGTCCCGCTCGTCCTGGTCTCCATCACCCTTCCTGCAGCGGCAGCAGATCCGCTTGATGATGATGTAGATGTGGCTGAAGATAATCATTGGTGGTGGCAGGACAGGTCTGTCATGGAATGTCATGATCAGCTGGTACCGCTGGAACTTCCAGACTTGGTTGGATATTGATTTTACCTCAAAGAAGGTATTGCTGAAAGGAAACACAGGTACAGTTTCTATGAGGTCCCTAATCTCGCTTCTCATTGAGCAAGTACTATGTTGAAAAAAGCAGCAGCTAAATAACCTCATGGAGCTACAGGATTTGCTTGGTTCAGCTCTTTGTTGGTGCTCCTGAACTAAGGATTAAATTGAACTCATGATTTCAGTCCTCCTTTTGAAGGTAGCAAACAGCAGGTGCTCTGCACCCCTCAGGCACCACTCAGAACAGTCCTCTCAGACCATTTGCTCCTACTGTACAAATCCCTTAGGTGCCAGTGAAAAGAAACTCACACAATTTATGCATCACATAATTGGTATTTTGGGGCTTGGTTATAAACTATTTCTTTTAACACATGCCAGTATTTGATGCTACACAAAGTATTAAATCCATGAAAAGTAGTTTGTATGCTAAACTCAGAAGCTTCACATAGTATGCCTTTAATATGCTAATCAGCTTGACCTACATAGAAGACTTTTCAAGTTTTCACTGAATGTCCTAAATTCAAACTTTATTCCCTCAAACTTCTGATTCGAAAACATGGTGCCTATTCTTGTAAAGAAATTTATACTTGGAAGCTTCATCATTTTTACAGCAAAGTAAGGTGTGTTTTAAAGATGTTTAATTTTGAAATTCAGTTGATATTAAGTGACAGGAGTCAATCCAGAGATAACAATAGTCACAGTTATGAAATACCAACTAAGAGAATGCAGACTTGATGTTCTGTCTTATAAAAGGCTTTTCAAGCTATTTTAAAGTATCTTCAGACAGCTCACTCCACTCCTTATCATGGTGATGATACTGGAACTTCCTTTCTATATTTTCTGTCCACCTATTTCCTAACTCTATGTGCTTTAGAGTATCTACATTCATAACACCAGTTAAAACACCTCTTCAAAACCAAAGAATTCCTGTGTACAAATAGATTTTACTTTAAGTTTACATGAGACTATGACCAATGATAAATAACAATCTGTCTTCATTCCGTGTCTCCTTTACCATCATCAGGCATTTACAATCACCATCATAAAGATTGTCCCCACAAAGAGCTGAAGGAAAAATAGGAAAGGTATTTTTCACAAATTGCCTAGTACTTTAAAATAGTATTCTCATTTATTTAATGATGACACGTGCATAAACGTTGCCAAATTTTGTCAGTTTATTTCCAGGAATTCCCCAGCTAGATCTCAAGCCTGTGCAAGCAGGCTGGGATGGCAGGAGTTAACAGCATGACCTACTTCCCAAACTGCTGATTCCTTGGTCCTTCAGCCAATAATAGCTACCATTGTAAGATTCTTCCCCTTCTCCCCAGCTATGTGACTGGCATTTGAGTACTTTAAATTCATGACCTTTTAAGCTACATACATCAAATGAAAGACAGGCTTTGTGAGCTGCAGATTTCTGGGCACACGAAGTACTGTTTTTTGCATTTGTGACACAAGCTTACATCGACAAGCCCTCCAACACTACATGTTTGAAGGCAACAAAAATGGATCACCTGCTTTTCTCAGGCGCTCTGCTCAGAAAGTATTGCCAGCAGGTCATTATTTTTTTAATGCCTACATTATGAGAGGAAAAGCATGCAACCTAAGTGCAGGTAGGAAGAAAAAGCAGCAGAAATTTATTTAGTTTTACTCCAGATAACTCGAAATATATATATGTGCATACTTCACACTGCTTGGATTGGCCACAGACCTTGGCAACACATAGCCGTCCTCCCTGATGATTCAAGGCAATACAGTCTATTTTTTTGGGTCATGAAAGGACTCTGAAAGGCCCTAATTTCTTTTTCTAAATGGAAAACAAAACAAGACAAAAGCCAGATGATGTAGTGGAAATGCCTCAGGCTTTTGACGTTTGGAGTTTTGTTCTGCTGCTCTCCCAAAGAGCTGTGACTGCCAGTGGCTACACGGGTTTCTGTCAGGTGTGTGCCAGGTTTCATGGATCCTATTCCTCATATTTCCAGAGCAGCCTGGACGCCTGTCACTATCCATTAGAAGGTAATTGGAGGTAGCCAGGTTCTCTCACATCCATTGCTGCAATCGCTGGCAAATTCAAAGCCACTTTTTCTGTGACATCCATGGAATAATGAGATCCTGAGTGAATGCTAACCCTTGCAGAATCAGCTGATGGGCTCAAACAGAAACTTTATCTTGACAATCAGACAAAGATGCATGATCGTTTACATACTTGAAGACAGCAATCAGCAGGTTTACCAACAGGATATTTGCTACCAAAAGGTAACAGGCCATAATAGCAGGAGTGAGCCAGGCCCCTGGGATGCACGGAGGGAGGCGTTTACCATCATCATCGTAAAGATTGTCCCCACAAGGAGCTGAAGGAAAAACAGGAAAGATGTTTTTCACAAACTGTCTGATAATTAAAAATAATATTCTCATTTATTTAATGATGACACACGCATAAACGTTGCCAAATTTTGTCAGTTTATTTCCAAGAGCAAGTATGTGTAATTTCTACTTCAAATTCTGCTTCCATATTAGTGAACAGAGAGGAAATTCCTTACTGTACAGTGTGGCTTTCTATTCACATTCCCATGGATTTTCTTTTTCTCACAGTAATAGTCAAAGACCAGATCTTAATGCGTACACTTACATATTAATAGTGGAATTACAAACAAATTATTAAACCCAGCTTGTAAGCATACCTTCCAAAGAGATAAAAACATTGCTTTAGTGGTAACAGATTGCTGAGCATCAATTCAACATCTGCAGGGGCTCAGAGTAGTGAAGAGGCCTTTAATGGCCCTGAGCAACTTCACTGGGGATTTACAGCTGTGCCCCCTCTGCACACCTGTCCCTGCCTGAGCTGTGTCCCACCCCTGCCTCCAGGATGGAGCTTAATGGCCCTGAGCAACTTCACTGGGGATTTACAGCTGTGCCCCCTCTGCACACCTGTCCCTGCCTGAGCTGTGTCCAGGATGGAGCTCGGACCAGTGTTAGTCCCCTGGATGGACCCTTCTGTCTCTGGCCCTGTCTGGTTTTGCCCCTTACTGGATTCCCTAGGTGGATCCCAGACTGTTACTTGACCTGTCTGGGGCTGTTAATGTTACCAGCAAGTTAATGCTACCAAAAAGATCCAATTCTAAAATGAAAATTATATAGTAACAGCAAAATAAGACTACTGAGAATGGGACAAAAAAATAAGAATATTGATTAAACCAATATACAATAATTGCCTGAAGTAATTCTAAGATTACATAGGTTGCCTTGGTAAGACCTGTCATGAAGTCAGGTAAATGCAGCAATTTTTTTCTGTCTGTAAGTGCAGTGCCAACATATCTGATTTCAAATACAAGGCTAATTCTTGGAACTGTTTAGTAGCAGGTAAAGTTTTTGTCAGCCACAGGTTTTTTAGCTGTAATCTAAGTAAATGTGACGTCTGACAGAGTTCATAACAGACTTAGTTTATGGGAATAAAAACTCAGTATTTTTAAACATTTTGCAAAAAACCACAATGCTTCACTTGAAAAATTTCCTCACTTGAAAAATACTTCAAAATATTTGAACACAAACTAAGCTTTTTTACTGAGGTCTCAAAGGGCTGTTTGGACTGTAGTTAACGTTTATTTTACTTGCTTTTCAAAAATCAGACCTACATTTTTTCCTGGTTATTCTAAGAGAAGTATAGCAACAAAATTAAGTGAATCCTAATTTTATTCCAATGGACAAATGCCAAAACCCACAGTAATATTGTATCTAGGTGATCAAAGGGAATTAGTTATACAATGCTACTTATGCATCATAATTTTTAAAACCCAATTATTTTACTGTTGATGCACTAGAAACAAGTCTCAGCAACAACTTCAACTCAGTTAAAACTTCTGATCTGCATTTTGTATTAAAATATTTTTCCTCTGCTTATTTTCTAATGAAACTATTACAGTAGAAAAACAACATTCACACCTGACTATTGCATGAGTGCTGCAATTAAGATATGAGTAACTAGTCAAGAAAAGCATTAATGAATATATTCAGCTAAATGAGATAATCAGCTCTCCCCAGAGACTTACGATTGATTTCCATGGCATAGACTGAACACCAGTCCAAAGGGATGGAACAGAAAAGGAGGCAGGGAGAGAAAAAAGAAAACAAGACAATAATAAACAGAACCCAAAAAAAAAAGATGATTGGAAATACAGTTCTGCTGCCAAGAAAAGATAAGCAACTCAAATGTCAGAACGGTAGAGACATATGCTGAGAAAAAATGTCTTTGTTAAAAATGTATTGTATTCTGCAATTTCCTTTTCATGCTGTTTTCCCCAAATGTTACATATGGCAGCAAAGTAATGATAATAATATATCACAAAATGCTTCTGGCAGATGATCATTTAAATATACATGATATTTCTGGCAAGTAAACAAAACTGACCGTCTACACAAAGCAACTCAAAATTATCACACAAAAATCATTCTTTCAGCTACTATGGAAACATTTTTCTTTTTTTTTTTTCTTTTTTTTTTATCACCCTGGCTTTGAATCTGTCAGCTGTTTCTTTTGAATAGCTACATTTCCACTAATAGGCATGCTATTTTACACTGTAAAAACATCAGTATCATTAATGCCCATTTTGACCACCAGTCTGGATACTTGCCTGCCAATTCCTAAATGCTGGTAAGAAAAGTCACACTATTGAAAGAGACTCAACCAACCTTCTTTATTGTTTAAAAATACGACACTGTTGAGTATAAGATGCTAATAATTTCTTGCTTGTGCACATCTTCTAAAGAGAGTGAACCACACAAGAGCTTTCTGGGGTGCATTAGGGAAAGTGTTAGCAGCAAATTAAAGGGAGGTAATTATTTGGCTCTACTCAGCTCTGGTGAAACCACGTCTGGACTTGTGTGTCTGGTTCTCAGCTCCCCATAGAAATCAGGCATGGACATATCAGAACAGTCCAGTTATGGCCACAGGGATTATTAAGGAGATTGGACTATCTGAAAAATGATGCAAGACTGAGAAAGCTGGGATAATTTAGTCTAAGGAAGGTCAAGAAGACCTTACCATTATTAATGTTATAAATACCTGATGATGTGTGGGAGAAAAGAGCACAGGGCCAGACTTGAGTTCTCAGTGAAAGGAGAAGCAGCAGTGGGCAAAGGGGAGAGATGGGCAATTCCACTTAAACCAGGTTGTCCAGAGAGGCTGCACAGCCTTCATCCTTCAAGATACTGTAAACATCACTGGACAGTCCCTAAGCAATCTGGGATAAATCTAATTTACCCCGTTTGGAGCAGGAAAGTTCAGCTGGATGATCTCCAAAGGTACCTTTCAAGCCCAGCAAATTCTGTGACTTGTGATCTCCAGAGGAATCTATAGGATTCTCCTGATCCCCAGAGAAGCTACTGACCAAGTCCAACTGCCTTCTTTCTGAGGGAAAATTTGATGAAATACTTTTGCTGTAAGTTGTTTACACCCCGGACCTTGCCAAAACCAGCCATTAGCTCTTGAGTCAGAGTCATATTAGACTGCCCATAGCCATTACTCCCCAATGACTTCTGAGGCTGTTTTGTGGTGTGTTTACAGAGAACCACAACTTGTATTATTTCAGATAAAGTGCAAACTACATGATACACACTAGAGGAGGCCAGCTGCACATTGGACTGTCATACAAACTTCAAAGGTTAACACAAAATTAGCAGTAACAGGACAGCTTACATCTCCTTTAAAATACTGACAGGTATTTTTTTAAAGTGTGCAGGATTCCTGTAAGAAAGGCTATTTCCACATCCAAAGCTAATCAAGTGGAGTTTGCTTTTTTTTGTTTTGTTTTCCCACAGGTGTAGAAAAGAACAACATGAGTGATTAATGAAATGGAAATGTTTCTGAAAGCAGACAGATGTATGACTGGGAGTAAAAATGTATGAGCTAATTGCTTGTGAGTTGGAGATGAAAGGATATGTGTGTTTTAACCTCCCCGTACCAGGAATTTATTTCTTTTCTTCTTCTGTTAGAACTGAGTCTTAGTAAACCTTTGAATGAAAAGAACATTTCAGAATGATCTCTGTTGATCCCTGCAAGTAAACAGAACACTGCCACACTGTTGGACAGGAGAATATTCTGGGCTACATCCCTTCCTGTGTTAACTGAATTTGAATATAAACCAAGAGAGCAGACATGCGGGTGGAGAAGAGAAAATTGCTCAGCCTCAGGTCTGCCACAAGAAAACAACAACAATAGCATCATAAAGCAAAAACACTACTTCCAAATTAAAAGCAGTCTTTAATTTGGGTCTGATCATCTGCCTCAGAAACAGGAAACAGACTCTTACTATGAATTCTACTCTTACGGTCTATCTGGTCAGCGAACACCTCTCCGTAGATCATCCAGTAGGGCATGTAGAAGATGTTGCGAGCCAGCCGCCAGGAGGGCTCCTCATCTGGGTGCAGGATAGCCTGGCGGGCCACTCCAAAGCTCATCAGAACCACAAGCATGATGACCACAAAGTACAGCATGTCAATCATCTGCACGGAGAGACCACAGACAGGCTCTCAGCACCAGCAGGGAGCACAGTGGCAGCAGCAGGTCTGTCTGCCAGCATGCGCTACAGCAAACACGGAAATAGCACGAAAATCTTCTTGACATCATGCTTTCAGTGCTACTCAGGTATTAAGAATACAAACTAATGCAGACAAAGCAGTCATTTAAAGGAATACCGGATTATATTTCAAAATATTTAAAATGCTAAAACCTTTGCTATCCCCATTCTCCTGTGCATCGAATGTAGTATGCTGTGCTTTCAGCACAGACCTCCTCTGTGGCTGCAGAGAGATGATACAATAATCACTGCTGCACCATCTCCTGTGCACAGCTGATGGGCTTCTGGATAACCCTGGTGTACCTGCAATCTGTTACTGCATGAGTATAACATCTTGTGTGTGTGTGTGTATGAAATTCACATGGCAGCTTTTCACAGGCTGTATTCAGTCCTACTCAATAGAAAACCTCTTTTTAAAGCAGAATGGGATTTACTTTCCCACAGAGTTCTTAAAGACATAATTTATAGCAATTTAGGCACTAACCATCTTTCCAATCATCATGACGTAAGGTCCCAGGTATTTGTTCACACCAAAGATGTCTAGTACTCTAATGTACCAGAAAATGATATCTACGCAGTAAATCACTCTTCCATAACCCATGTAAGGTTGGTTCTGCAGGCGAAGAATTGCTCCTATGATAAATACTGAAATAGCCACCAGGTCAGTAATATTCCAGTATTCCTGGAGCCAAACTTTGATTTTTTGGCTCAGCTTGCCAGGCTCTGACATTAGAATCTGAAATAAACGAACAAACAAATGTACAACAACAACAACAAAATTAGAAAAAACTCCAGGTTACATTTTTTAAGTAATGGTCATGAGGAAAGACTAATCTTGTCATATTCAACAGGTGTCTGAATATCAGACACCCTCCACTGTCAGAAAAATTTGTTTCAAGCAAGAATATTTTTAGTTATTAGTATATTTAGAACATGAGACACTTCTTCTGTGTGACCTCTCAACCCTGTGCACAAGTCCATGCCATTATAATCTCTAAGAGCAAACTTTGTTCTAAGGATTATGAGATGTTGTATGGGCAGACTTTACCTCTCTGACTTTCTCCAAAGCCAAAGTCACAATGTAGGAGATGACAATCCATTCCTGGACTGATGGCCACCGTTCCATCCGCACCAAGATGATGTAATTAAATAACATCAAGTAACCAAGGTATGAGATCTGCCAAAAAAGAGGAAAATCATTCATGGACTCTACATGATGTATCCTAGGATCCTTCCAAATTAGGCAGTATTTAATTACTTGAGATGACTTACACACACAAAAAAACCCCCCAGCTTCCACTAATTTCCATTACACAGTCCTGGATTATGAGTGTAAGCCAAAAGAGCTAACACTCAGTTTTCTGTAACCACTCGTGTAAATGTCAAACTGCTGGTGCTGGTGTCTCCAAGTTGTACTGCAGCCTTTGGTGACCAGCCAAACTAAAACGTCTGAGATCTCAGAAATCCAGAGTTAAGAAATAAAAAAGAATTCCATGACTTAAAAGGGAAAAAACAAACCTAACCTGGAAGCAAAACAGTAGCAAACCAAAAGATATTTCAGGGAGAAAATGGAGTTTTCCAAAGAATGGAATTTTCAGTGTGAAATATTTCCCCACCATCTCAAGGCAGATGTAAAACAGAACAGGGAGTAAAGCTGTGAGCAGCACCTGCCTGGAGGGGTAGGGAGAATAAAGAGCCATACAGCCCACTTGCTTTCTCCACTCTGTAGTGGTGTGGTTGAGCCCACCTGGGAAGATTACACTCTTCAGCTGAAGCCAGAGGCATACAAACTTCACTTCTCAGCCCCTCTTCCTACACTTGTTAATTAAACCCATCGACATGGACAGTAGGTTGGCAGGTGTTTGGGTTTCTTTAAGCAGCTCCCAGACTCAGGAGCAAGTTTCATGCTGAAGCTTAATTCAGTAAGAGCAGAGAAGGCTGCATCACCAGAGAAGAAACACCAGACAGAAGGCAGGCAAATCCTCTTAGCTGAGGGGCCTGATAATGCATGAAAGCAAAGCCCCCTTGACTCAGTTCCCTAATAACTGTGCTAATTAGGACATTCATATGAACCTGTGTGATGAGGCTAAGCACATGAAATATTCAGCTGCTGAAGACCCTGACTTGCACAATAATTAATATTTCCTTCTCTGCAGGAAGCAGACCTGCTGCAAAGCCCTCCCCACTGGCACTGCCAGGGGCCTCCAGCACAAAGGAATCCCAGAGTGGCTCTGGAACATATGATCCAGACAGCTGAATTATCTAATTTGTTGAAAGAAGTAAACAGCATTTCTAAAGCACTTTAAACCAGGCCCTTTATGCCTGGGGCTTTTTTAGTCTACTAAAATGTAATTTCTTTGCACTGTAAAACCATGTTGAACACTTTTCTTTGAAATTAAATAGGAATTTTGCCTTTAAATTATTAACTCAGTCACTAAAAAAGGGACAATGTAGTGTTTTGTGATTAAAATGTGCTAAAACTAAAAACCTGCGTATTACTATGACCTATCAGGCATCCTAATCTTGAACACGTAAGAAAGCAGTATACCTTCTACAGGGCACACACAAAATTTATGAGCAGTAGCACGAATAGATGTTCTATTATAACAGTTTAACGCCAGATAATTCCTGATGCAATAAATAGAAAATTAGATGCTTGTCAAAAATAAGTATTTTAGTTTAGTTTTGTTTTAATTGTTTTAATAAAGGTACCTATGAAGTCTTAGCAGACTGGGATCTGTGCTCCCATCTAGGCTGCACCCATCTGAGCAACAGGGCAAATGGCAATGATACCATGGGGTTACTTCTTGGGTCCTAAAGGACATTTCAATGCAGAGCAGGAGCCAGGTCCTCTAGAAAGGAAGAGAATCCAGGCTAGTTTGGATCGAGTGACTGGATTGTGGAGCTTGCACTTAGTTTGGTGTATTCCACACAGAGCCTCCTTCACAGCATGTAGGAGCTTTAGAGGCTGACAGTGTAAGCTTCAGTTATTCATTCTGTTTCACTGTCTGTGCATTTTCCTCTGAATAAAGGGAGTGCTTTACTCATCAGATACTGACAAAAGTCAGTAAAATATTTATTTATTACATGGTTATTACTTTTACATTTGAATCCTTTCAGTTTCACAGGTGTGAAAAAAATGATCACTGTCAGTTTTATCATCGTGACTTACTGTGTAGAACCAAAATTTGACAATAGGTGCATTATAGAATTCATAGATCTTTGTTCCAATTGGAAGGCTCTGTTGTTTTTTCTTTCCATTCTCTTCATCCCCTTTTCGGGAGCCTGTATCTGCATTTGCATCCTGGAAGACCAAAGTTGTCAGACTTCATCAATACACAGCAGTAAAAAATAGTAGTTTTCCTCAACTACAGCCCCAGCCAAGTGTTAACTATGCAGGGATTCCCCTGAGCAACAGACCTCTTTTTAAAAGTGTATAAATAGAATTCTGTAAATCTGTGGAACTACACAGACACTTCCCGTGCCCTGAGAATCCAGTCTGTGCTCTCCCATGATTGGGAGACTGATTTTATCCCCCAGAGGCAATAGAGATTTTAACCTGAGTGAGCTACAGCATAATCAGAAAAGTCAGGAAAATGAGCAGAGATATTAACTTTCTAATAATCTCAATTACTGACCGCATTTTCCTCCTCCTTTTCTTTGCCTTCCTCATTTTCTTTTGATGTCTGGTAGGAATAGTCATCATAACTGCGATACTCCAGGAAAAGGATGGTGGGAGGGAAGAGAATTCCCATTATAACCTGTGAACAAGAAGGAATTCAACTCAATATTTGTTTATATTATGGATTTTGTAACAAGGTAGGTTCCTACCCAAAGTTTTCCTTTGTAGAGTATTCAAGGTATTCTGCCATCCTCAAGCCTATAGAAATGAGTAAGTACTTAGGAAGCATTGGCAATAAGGTATTTCATGAAATATGGCATCCTGGAAAACCTCCCATCTCCACAAATACCCTGCAATTAAGAAGTTGTGCTCCAAAATTAGCATGCAGAGAAATGCCCTGGAACGGCCACAGTGGTGTTAGAAGCCTTCAGGTTTATTACTGGAGTTTATAGTTACTTCAGACACCTACTATTATTAGTTTTAATATTTAAAAATCTATGAAAGGTAAAAGAATCTTCACAGATAGCCCTGGGAAAATTCTCTTACTATATGAGATTTCTTAGATACAGAAACACAAGCCAAATACAGAAAATGAGCAGAGAAAGGAAGGCAGGTAATGAAACTAGAACAAACATCAGGAGGTTGATTAATTCTTTGGAGAAAAGAAAGGAAAGTAATAAACAGATTTGGGAAGTACCATGGTGCAATCTCAAAGGCAGGACAGTTGCCCAAAGATTTTAAACAGGTTTAAGAGGGAGATAGGGGAAAATGGAAATAAACTGAGAATGGCAGAGACAGTGCAACGTGTATGTCAGCAAACTTGGGAATCTGGCCTGGGAAGACAGAGCACTTTGTCAGCAAGGGAGATTTAAGGAAATAAGGAGGTGGCAGAGACAGTGCAATGTGTATGTCAGCAAACTTGGGAATCTGGCCCGGGAAGACAGATAGAGCACGTTGTCAGCAAGGGGGATTTAAGGAAATAAGGAGATGAGCAGGATGGGTCTCCATATGGGTGACAGCAACTGCATAACTCAAGAAAGAAAGGATTCTATTCACATGAAAACACACACAAGCAAACACTGCTCTGCTTCCTTAGCATTGACTCACTCGTGTTTCTCTTCTGTGAGAGCCCCCTCACATTACTTGTTTTTTTGTAAATCAAACTATTAGGAAATGTTATAATCTGTAAGAGAGACTGCATCATCAAATCACAGAAGCAGGAAATAGAAATCACATGGTTTCTCACAATGCAATTGCACAGATTTCACTCTTTTCAACACTGAGTCTCAGCTGGTATGATATTAAGCAATTTAAGAAGCATGTGTCCACATATGGTTTATTTTATCTCTATTCCCATTGCATGGACCCCTAATAGAAACATTTTTGCTTGTCTACAACTAATTTTTAATAGAAAGAGTATGTTCTCAATTAACAAATCTCATGCATTATTGAAAGCCACAATTTTTCTCTCTCAGATTCCAAGCACACTAAGTATTTTATGGAGTTATATTTTCCTTTGTCATGGTGCAATATTCCTTAGATATCCTGAAACTGGAAACTAAAGAAATTAGCTTTAAAATAGATGTGTTCTTAAAACATCTCTAAGTTCAGCAGTTTTTGCTATGCAAACACTATGTGACACAAAGTGCTGCACCCAACAGCCTCTCTTTGCAAGCGGTGCAGAACAGAAATACCTTAAGGCCGGGGTTTTTCCGCATGCGCAGTCGCCCCATCCACATGTCTGTCAGGAGCATCTGGCTGCAGGTGTGAGCAATGAAGTCCCTGTGTTTAGCTGCCACAGCCAGCTTCAGGCAGGTAGAATTGCTCCAGTTTTTCAGCTCATATGTCAGCAGTTTCATGGCAATCTGCTCATCATGTTTATAGGACTGATCCAAGAGTTCAACAGCCAGCTGGCCAAAATCTCTGGAATGAGATAAGATCAGTGAAGTTATGCTTAGAAACCAGTCTGCTTTGGGGTTTTAGCTCTGTTCACTGGGCATCATGTTTATCCACACACAAGAAGAACTAATCTCAAGCTTAATTTGGGACAGTCTACAAAAGTTCCAAACAAACTGTGAGTGAACAGAGGGAATTCACATAGACCAATAACATCTTGAAGGCAGTTTAGATATAACATCAGATACTCTTTAATTTCTGGGTGTAAATTCTAAAAATAACTTTGTGAACTAAAACTTGCTAGTTTTACAGGGAGAAGCTCAAGAAAGAATGCATTCTGTCAGAAAAAATGCAAGTCTTCTCCTTGTTAGTGTTGCCTTGAGATCCCAAGACCACATTTTTCCTTGTCTGTAGTTGATAAATTGGCGCCAAATGGGGTTCTGTGAAGCCACATTTAGAAATTATTGTACTGGAGTAAAAGTAAAGTTTCTCAGCAAGCTTGTACCAAGTAGATATAAAATCTGCTCTGCATCTACTAACTTTGAGTTGTTGTCCAGGTCCTGAGAGATGTCATCCACCAGCTCACTCTCTGAAGACTCATGGGCCATAGACTTGTAGAGTTTACAAGCCACAAGTGCCTTGGCCATGGACTCCTCCCCTCGCTGCCAGAGGAACAGAGCCATCTTCTGCCGTTTCATGAGCACAGCCCACACCATCAGCTCATGAAAGGGGTACTGAAAGCGACTGACTTCTGGGTCATCCACATCAATATCAATCTCTTCCTCCTTTTTCTTCTTTTTCTTCTTCCCTTTGGTGGGAGGCTCATCATCCTGGGAAGAAAAATTGTTCCCATCAGCTTTTAACAGCCCACCTGACAACAGCACCATGTATGGAACAAGCACTGAGAGGACACATTAGTACTCAAAGTTCTAACTTGGTTTTGCTGTTTGCTACCATGAATGCAATAGGACAGAGCATGCACTGGGCAAGCACACACAGACTCAGATTTTGTTCAGGGTGCTGTTTTTTGTACACATAATTACAAGTCACCCATCCTGGAAAGTGCAGTAGACCCCCCTGGAAGTGAAAGGCATCCCTTCACACTGCACACACAGATCTCTACTGCATGTGGAATTGCACAGGCTGGTCTGCAACAAATTAGTATTTGCTGAATTCCTCTGCAGTGTCAGTGGGACTCTAACAAAGCTGAATTCCCTACAGACAGGCTCCACTGTCATTTCTGACTCCATATGTCTGTGTCTATCCCTGCAGAGCAGTGCTGCACACCTTCCAGGTACCAGAGCACTTTTCTGACTGACGTGCAGGCCATGGCAACATGCAAAAGGCAAAGACAGGCACACAGCACCCTTAAGAACAGCAAGATACCAAAGGGAGTCTTCACCTTGGAATAAGCAATCTCCTCCTATGTATGCAGTGCACCTGGAAGGTATTAAGTATCCCATTTCTTAAAGGGATAGGGAGGATAGGCCACTACTACAGGAACCAACATGGAAGCAACCGAAGGGAAGTAGTGACAATGAAGCAGGATCCTGAAGGGAGAGAAGCCATGATTGGGAAAATTAGGGTTTAAAAAATGTAGGAAGAACATTGCATTTATAAGAAAGAGCTCATCATCACTGTAGACCTTGAGTCCAATCTCAGAAGCAGATCGCAAGCAAAAGAAATTGCTGTTCTACAAAATCAGTTCTTGTTCAAGCAAGCTCAGCATTGTGCACTATTTTTCAACAAAATGTGAATTTAAATCCAAATTCAGAATTCAACCCACACCATTTCCAAAGAAGACTCTTCAGCTCAGCAGCTGAGCATGTACTTCTCCTTGAGCAGTTTTAACAACTGCAAGTGGTGACCTCTGTCTTCCATGGAAAATGCACAAAGCATTCATCACCTCTGCAGCACAGGACATAAAATCTTAAATGGAGGACAAAAAATTAGGTCCTCTAAACCCTAGGAAAATCAAATAAAAGCAAAATGGGTCATTGTACCAGGAAATGTCTTGATAAAACCAGTACTTTAAAGAAATCCAACTTACCTCCATTCCCAGTAGTTTAAGAGCTTTTGGCTGAATATTAAAAAAATAGAAAATAAAATCAGTTAGATGGGAGGAAAATTTGAAAGACCAAACAATACCAAGCAAACCCATTTTCATTTACAATTGTACAGCATTCATTATGAAATTTACTGTTATAAATAATTGTACTAATAGTGCTGCAATTAGTTACTTTTCATTTAAATTGTATTTGCAGGAATACAATAGGTTAAGAAATATCTATCCTGCACTCAAAGGAAAGATTTTAATTCAGACTGAAGAGTTAAATGAATAATTTGATAAATAATGCTTTGAGAATTAAAATAACTACATGGTCACAAAAGCCCAAAAAAAAAAAAATAGTGCTTCTAAGCACACCACAATTAGGAATACTTGGATTGCAAACTAGTGGAAAAGGAGGAAATTCACCTCCAGATCCGTGTATTCATGACCTCTCATGTCTTCACATCCTTTAACAGAGATGTCTTACAAGTTTCTTACAAAACTTCACTCTTGGAGTTTCAACTTCTACCTTGCAGCACTTCTTTAGAATTTAATATGCAGTGTTTCACAAAAACAAAGGAACAGAGTATTACTTATTTTTTACCACCTCCACAATGACCATATCTAAAATTAATTAATTGTTACCCTTTTTGGTCCAAATAAATTATTATAAAGAGTCCGAAAGCTTTTCCGAGTATAGTTGCAGCGATAGGCTCCACCCATGAGATATTCCAGGACAAGACCAATATCTATTAGGCTGATATGATAGTCTGGTGGAAGATTTCCCTGCAAAAAACCCCCACAACTTAATAAGGATTTAGGATAAGAAAACATGACGCAGATTAAATTGCCTGGCTAGACATATGTCATGATTAAATTGGAACATGGATATTATTTACAGTCACTGGGTTCAGTCTTTGAACATTTCTATGAAATTAACTGATTCACGTAATGAAAATATTTGGGGTCATAGCTTTTTGGTTTTGCTGTTAGCAGAATTCGTATGTCTGAACAAATTTTCATTTGATTTACTCACACATGAGTGTCCATACAAGTTTATGTTGTTCACAAGGGTTATATTAATGAACTTAAGAAACTGTGCACTAATTATCATTAATCCAGTATAAAAGCATGGCAATTTCATGGTGACTATGCCTGATAACCATACTTCATATACTTTTTTAATGGAAACTTTTATTTAATCATATTATCTACAGCTGAGACTACAATGCAGACCATGATTAATGTGCAGCCCAGAATCAAAGCAAAAGGCAAACTCTAATTTTGGCAGTTACAGCTAAAACTGGATAATTGTATTGACTCCACTGGAAAAAAAAAGGTGCTTCACTATCCAAGCTACATCCTACAGCAATGACTGATTCTACATCACCACTGAGCAGCTGCTATGATGGAACAACTACAGCCTAAGGAAGAACATCACCTCCAGGTTAACCCAACTGAATCCCCGGGACTGCCGCTGAGGGAGGGAGCATGGAAATGCAATGGAAAAGAGCAGAGACAGACAGACAGCAGAATGCAGAGGAACATTAGTGACACTCACAGTGACAACACTGAATGAGAAAAGAGTTAAGCCATGAAGCAGATGAATATGAATGATACAGTAACACAGTACTGCATAATTCCCACATCTGAACCTCCCTGGAATAACTGGGAGTTTTCCTTGCAGAAATTAATACAGACAATTTCATGTAGCTGAATTTTACTGCATAAAAGCTTCAAAACCTCTAAGAGAGAAAATACGACAAATCTCACAATGACCCTCCCTCTTCACCTACAATGAACAAATTTTCTTGTGTTGGAAACTATTGAGTAACAAAAATAGGACAGAAGAGATTTTCTCCCAGGTAAAAAGTTGGACTAGTGGAGGAAAAGTAACTGGAAAACACACAAGGAAACAAACAAAATTCAAGAAATTCTGCAGTCATGAGTGGGGCTTCCAGTTAACCCAGCAGGCCTTTGCTTCCACTGCAATGCTGCACTGGGAGCTTTTTGTAGAGAAGAAACATATCAACCTAAATCTCAAACGCCATATTACACTATAGGAGCTTAATTCTGTTAACTCCTTAGTTTTTTTAATTACTATCACTGCCACAGCTGATTTAGACTGACATCACTCTTTGATGCAGGGAGACATTTAACTTTTCTTAACAGCTGCCATCCCATTTCAAATGCCTGCTTGGCCCCATGCTATGCTTGCTGTTACTGTTGATTCACAGGGCCAATGCAATCACACAAACGTAACACTGCTTACCTTTTTCACATCCCTGACCAGCAAATGCAGCGTATTTGGCGGACCCAGCCTCTGCAACAAAAATAATTCATGGTCCATTAGAGCTTCAGTTCTTCAGATGTTTGCAAACATGAACACAATTAGGGATCTGGCAGCTTAAGCAGAGCTTTAGACAACAACCATGTGCCATCACACCCCAGAGGGGTGAAAAGAAGGAACTGGGCTACAGTGACAAAGACATTTCTATCAGGAGCTGTGTAATATCCCTTTTTTATAAACCTTTCTGTGGTGGTTCAAGTCACATACACAGTGGCAAAATATTACAGGGCTATTTAGTATTTGTGCTCACTCACAGTATTATAGAGCTCCTCCAGGCGAGGAATAGTCAGGAAGTGCTGCATGTTCACTCCATTCTCAATGAGCAGCTTCACAAAGTCCACTCGATCCAGGACCAGTGCATCCAGCATAGCCTGCTCCAGGGAGTTCACCTAAATTGCAGGTGGAGAATGTGAGACCACATGAGTACAAATGAGCTGGCTGGGCAGCAGCCACAGCCATTTTCACTACTTAGGATATGGACTGAATTCCCACATATGTTGATTAGTTTGTAACTAAAAAGGAACTTAGAAAGTAACACTTTAACCAAATGAAGTGAGTAGAGATAGAGGAGATTTCCAAACCTTTAGCAATACAACTGTAGCTTTCAGTCCTTCAACATGTAGCTTTCAATCATTTCGTTCAGCATTTTAATTAAATTAGGCATACCATGCCTGACACATTATGTCAAAAAGAGATTTACTTGCTCAGTATGATAGGAACAAGTTAAACTAACACATTCACAGAAGGAAGATGTTCACTGGTGGTCTTATTTCCTTCTGACAAGTGCAGGGAGGAAGATGCTGCAGCTCAGTACTGACTTGTACTGTTGAGATATAGCTGCATGTGGTGCACATGGGATGAGAGAGGGATTCTTGGCTCAGACACCAAACAGCATTCCTGCAGAATCTACAGCTGATCTTGTGGGAATGTGCTAAAGAGCATTCTACAGAATGAAAGTGTGTATCTTCCTTCTGTCTTTGTACCTCACAATGAAAAAAAAAATCTTCAGCAGTTTTTAATAAAAATACTTTCATCTCACCCAGTTCAGGAGTTCAAGTTTTCTTGGGTCTGTTTCTTCTTCTGGTTCTTCTTTTGCTTTTCCTCCTTTTTTTTTCCCTTTCCCTTTCCCTCTGCCTGCTTTAGTCTGAGGTGCTGGAGATTTCTTTTCCTTCTCAGGAGCTGTACCATCAGGAGCTGTAAGGCTTCCTAAAGGCTGTATTTATAATACATTAAAGTATTAGAAATCTAATTGATCTTACAGTAACTATTTAATTGAGTACACTCCTACCAAGCTCACCCCCCAGTCACCACTTCTCACACTGAGTCAACTAAAAATGGCAATTTGTCTAAATTTAAGGGCCTTTCTGCACAGTTACAGCTTTATCCTTTTTTAAAAGCTGTTAAGTCTAACTTAGTAACACTGAAAGTCAAAGCAGTGAAGGAGATTGAGTGGGGAGGATTTCTCTTAACAAAATAATATCATCATGAGAGGACTGGGACACTTCAGATCCTTTGCTCTTTCTGAAAGCAATAGTTGTCAAAATAAATAGCAACAAGAGCTGGACAGAAAGAGCCTAACAAGGATGCTGCATGATGCCAAATAGCATCCATACTGCAGAGCAGAGAGGAGAGGACACACAGCCACTCACTGGCTCATTTCTGTTCTGCAGACAGTATTTCTGTCTGTTCCTCTCAAGACACATTTATTCTTCAGCTGAAGTCCTTCCCCTTTCCAACCTGTCTGGCCAGGGCAGAGACACACATGCACCACACTTTGGTGGCTTAACTTGCTCCAGATAATGCTTAGGTTACATAAACTCCACTGAGAAGAAAGATGGATTGCTGCTCTCCTCATGACACTTTGGAGTAATTCAGCATCAGATGGTTCAAGCAGTAAAGCAAAAAGAATCAATACATCGATAAAATAATAAAAAGCATCAATACATAGTCTCAATAGTGAGACATGAAAATAGCTGAAATAAAGGATTTTAGTTACACAGGTGAAATGCAGTGTTTCACCAGTGCTGCCAGTGCAGCATCAAAGCCCAAGGTGTAAATATTACACAACTTAATTTAAAGTACTGACAAACAAAGAAAACTTTGTCTTACTGGCCAGTGGTGTCCAAAGACAAAGATTTGGCTGCGTGCAATGTCTACACGATTCCAGGCCAAAGCCAGGCTGAGCTGGTCTGGAGCAGATGCATTGGTACCTGAAGAGAAACACACAGAGGTTTCACATTTCACACATGATGAAACAAGACTGGACAACCTTGTGCAATAACTACAAAACAGCAAGCCTGGTTCCATATCATACTACCATCAGAATAATTTTGACACAAAGCAGTGGATTCATCCAGTCAAATTATAGCATCTTCCATTTAACCCTGTAATCCTAATTTCCAAAGAATTAACAAGATAGTCTCCCTTTTTTTTAAAGCTTCCACATTGACTTTTATTCTGATGCTCAAGACAGACATTTAACTCTTCTTAAAGATCCCTCTCAGCGCTTCTGGCTGATACTGTACATAAAAGTGCAAATTTGGGGACTCCAGAGATCCCACATAGAGCCTGTATCAACTCCTGCATACCCACAGACAGAAAACAGTTGTTTCAGCAAACATAACAAACCCCAATTAAATATGCTCTAAGGTTTAAATGGCACAGTCTGAGATCTCAAAAGATGCAGACAGCCTTGCATCTTCCCACTTTTTTTCCCTAACTTTATTAATGTATGCTAGCACCGCAATAAAATGAGCTGCAATATCAGCAGTACAGTTGTTGCAGCACTCCCATCCCACGCTTTCAGGGGAGAAAAGCCACACAAAACTTCCAATTTCGATTTTATGCTTCATGCCAATCTCAACATTAACCAAACACACTCGGGCACTTGTTAAAATCCAAGAAATCAAATTAAACATGAAGAGTGAACATCAGACAGTGCATAGGGATGTCCTGTTGGGATGCTTGTGCAGCCTTCCCGAGTGCCTGGAAAACGCACCCTTGAGGAGAGCAGTGAGGATGGACATCTCAATGTCGTGCTGCCCTTCCGAGCCCATGCGGAACACGGTGATCTAAAAACCAAACACACAAAATTACAGCACAGCAAAAAGAGACATGAACTTGTGGAGAGAAAATAGAGCAGAACGGTGCAGCTTTATTATTTCCTTCAGCTTAGGATTTTTCAAAAAGTACAGTTCCACTAAGTTTTTCTTTGAAATTTAGTTTTCACAGAAGTGTTTAGTTAAATTCTTTCAGTGAAGTTATCCTAAAATATCCCTGCATTGGTGAACATGACAAACTTGCTGAAAAGTCTTCACCAAACCCATGTATTCTAAAATGTGGTGACAAAACTGCCATGCAAAACCTATTGTTTTCTGATGGTTCTATTACTTCCTGGTAGTACTGGAAATGGAAAAGATAGTTACCCAAGATAATTATCATAGCATCTATTTTATTGATGATAACACTCAAATAATTTTTAGCTGCAGGATGTGTTACACATGACAATCAAAAAGGCAGAACCAAGTAAAAAAAAGCAATTATTTTTAGTCACATTTGTTTAATTCAGTCCATTGCAATTCAATTATTTTAAAAATAGTAATTAGTGTATAGCTTAGCCCTTTAAGTACATATTAGACAACTACTAATTCAAAGGCAGAATAACCAAATATTCTATGTTAACAAACTTAATACCAAATGCAGACCAAAAAACCTCAAATTCTTCATTTTCCAAAAGCAACTTTTCACATTATCTACTGAGAACAGCAATTTTCTCAACAGTTAGAATGTATTTTGCAGGAATGCAAAGATACATGACATCAGAAAAAGAAGAACTACAGGAAAAATATTACTAATTAACAAGAACAGACAAAACTATCAACAGAAAACTATAACCATAAGTCTGCTTGGGCTTCACAGGCAGTGTCTGAATTTTGCTGAGTAAACCAGGTGTGCTCTGATGCACATTATAAATTCAAAGCAGTCTGACTAAAGGAACTGTGGGCTCTTCTCTTCTCTTGAACCAGTTTTTTAGGAAGGTTGATTCTCTTTTCAGTCAGCTTATCAGAGTAATGTTTACTACCAACTTTACACCCAGTGGAGGTGTATGCATGGAACTCATCTTGGCATCATCTCCACACAACTTCACAGCAAGGATTGCTCAAAGGCAGACACTCAGGGATTCATTCTGCCTGCAGTTTCAATACACTGCTTCTAGACCACAGATGTGAATGCCAAAGGTTTTCTTTTCCTGAGCACACTTTGCTCTGCAGCTGGGATGTGGGAGACAGGCAGGAACTTGAGTGAGTGCGACAGCACAACCTCAGCCCTGCAGCAAGCCAGGAGCAAGGAAGGGGGGACCTTCAGGGACAAATTGCCTCAGTTTCTCTGGACAGGCCTGCCAGGTCTCTTTTCCTGGAATGAAAGGCTGTTAAAGAGTAACTATGTCAGAAAACAAAAGCTGTGTTGATGCACTCAGAATGCATTTTCCTCCTAGGAACCCTTTCTTCAATTATCTTTCAAATGAAAGATAATCTTTCAATTATCCAGCTTTTGGTACTGGATCCTGGGCTTAGTGCATTTCTCTGTGTGTTATTCTGCCTTGCTGAAGTCTGTGGAAGAAGATTCCTATCAATTTACACAGGAGAAGCATCTGAAATTCGGTTTTGGGACTTTCCAGAAGATGTAATCCCTTTTTGGCCTATGTTTATGCATGAATGTGTACATTTAATGCAGCTGTATCGGGGGAAAAAAGCTTAAACTATAACCCTGGGAAAATGGCTCTTGAAAGTACTCTGTAAAGTTTGGTCACAGAAATCACCTTTGTGAACTACTTTTAGGATACTTACAAGCTCTTTTTTTTTCATGCATTCCATAAGAATGAGAAATAGCTGATGAGCTTGACTCCTGTTGTAGTTAAAGGTTTTCTGGATGGTAACTAGAAGCTGGTCCCTAAGGGATTCATTGATTATCCTAGAAGAAAAATGAGACATAAAAGAAGACATTGACAGAATGAATATATATTCAGAAGATCTACTGTTTTAGAAACTATAATATCCAGGTATTCCTCTTATATATCATAGATATATTTCTGTTAGTAAGTTCAGTCTTCAGAATTTTATCATTAGGCCTTACAGGACCCCTACCTTTGCTCCTAAATGTTCCAAGTCCCTTTGCATTTAGCTAAAAACCCCAAAATAATTCACATTTCTGATATGTCACCTTGGTTGTGGTCTTAAACAGAGGACTGAACTTGCTAATCCATCTGAAACCTCGTAATACCCAACTGAGAAACAAATGAACAATCCAAAAGATAATTAAAGAAATTGGATTGAAAACATTCTGGAAAGGTCAGGAATGTTTGCTCTCCTGAAGCAATATGAAACAGCCCTTTAATCTTCATCCATGTCCCAATAAAACACATGTGTTTTCAGATTATGGCAAACACTACCAGCAGGTGCCTCAGAGATGTAGTAAAATTCAAAATTCACCGTGAGAAAATGATTGGACTGACAAAAATTCTCATTATAGATCTGCCTTACTAGATGAACACATTTATCATAATTATTGAAGAAGAAAATTGGACACTCATATGCACTGTCACTGGGAGGGAAAGTCATGCAGTGAGCACACCTCTGAGAGACTGATCCTGATAAGCTCTTTCAATTACTTATGAGCTGATAGGAAAAATGAATAAGAAAGAAAAAAAAAGCAAGCCAAATTTGATCTAAACTAAGGAAGCTTGTTAGACAGAAAGGAAAGTTGCTGAATCATAAATACTGTTGGTGCAATTAAATATGTGCTGTGTCTGAACACTAACAAAATCCAGCATAAGAGCTGCTCTCCTAATTCAACAAATAACATCCACACTGCTTGCAACACTATTTGTCTGCTTAATATTTAATCCAAGCTAAGCTTCAGTCAAGGAAATAGGTTCTATCTTCAGCACAAGACAGGTATGCCACAACCTAATTAAGACAATATTCAAGGTGTTTGCCTGGAAGACAAAAGCAAGAGAATGAAGGAAGCCCAAAATTTCCACAGCTGGACACTGGTTTGGCATTCTTGGACAATGAAATTCATTCACACAACACAGCAGACTCAGGCAGTACAAGTTTTGCAAATCTATGCACTAATTAACCTCAGCCCTGGCCTGGAGAAAAGAGTTACTCCTGGGAACTTGTCCTTGCTTCTGCTGTGCTCAGTCCAGCTCCAAGTATAGTGCAGCAAGCCCTGATAGAGCTTGTAAAACAGTGTGCAGTACTGAGAGCAAGCTCATTTCAAAGGACCATAACATGCATTCCAAGTGGTAATAACTCCTACTCACTAACTTCAGGGCTAAGAGCAAACAGGCAGCAAAAGCTGACTGACAGCAGAATGCCTCTGTTAGCAGCATTTTGTCCTTGAGGGGTTTTTCAAAATGAAGCTCAGTGAAAGCAAGGCATATAGTCCTACACAGCTTTGGTGAAGATCTTGAACCCTTACCCTCCTTCCTCTGAATACTTGTGTGCAAATGACAGAATGTCGGACGCTCGCCCGCTGCCGTCGCAGATCACCACTGGGAGAGGGGGGTCTTCCCGCAGGCACTCCAAGACAATGGAGATCACATTGGGACCTCCTTCTACTATGAGCCCAACTACAGGAACACCTTGGCCCAGTCCTGCAAAAACCAGAACAGAAACAAGAAAAAAAGAAAAAGAATTGTCATTGAAACTTAGTTAAAAAATTTGAGACAAGTCAATGTGTTTTTTGTGTTAGAGCACCGCTTCCAACCAGAGTCCTCAGGAAAAATGATGGCCATTTTGTGGCCAATGTGAGCAAAACTGCTCATATGCTGTTCCCCAAGCCCAAAAGGAAAAAAGGAAAAAGAGTAAGAAGTCTCTCTGCCCTTGCTTTTGCATCAGCTCCATACTGGTAACTTATCCTCTCAGTGTTGGTGGATGTCCCTCGACAGACAGCAGGTACAGATAAAGCAGCTAACATGACTGTCCTATTGCTTCATCAGCTTCACTGTTACTTGGATGGCTCCCAGCCTTTGATGCTTCACCTCTTCATTGGTTACCTAGGGAAGTCTTCAGTGAGGTGACATATCTATGCTTATTCCTAAGACAAAAGAGTGAAATTAGTGTTTTTATCATGAGGCTGAAATTGCTGGCCGATGGAAGAGACGACAGCTGAGCATCCCTTTGCTGTCCCTGCCTCACTGTGATCTCCAGGCATAGGATGACAAAGGGAAGCCCACAGGTCACATGGTCTCAGTAGCCTTGGTCACAAGAAACTTAGGGAAACGAGGACAAAACATTACCTGAATGCTGACTAATTCCACTACCATAAGCATTTGAATTCAGTTCTTAACCTGTGAAATGACCAGCGCTTTATAAAGATGCACTTTTTTTGTTTTCAACCTTGATTCCTCTCTGAAGAACAGGAGCACCATGCACAGTAACAGGAGAAGCTTCCTGACATCCTCCTGTCAGTACACCCCAGCTCTGATAAGGAGGAGTCACAGAGCATGGCCCGACCTGTGTGTCCATGAAATCTTTAGTGATTCCTCCTGAGATTTCCAGCAGAAGTCCCTGTGCTTGGAGTGGTTAAGAAGAAACAAAACAGCTCCCTGTATGCTAAAACTAGCAGGTGTACTGCAGCTCTTCACAGAACAGGCTTCTGTGTGTGTTCCCAACTTTGCCCTTCTCATGACAAAAACCATCAAACACTACCTAAACCAGAGCTGATATCCCCAAGCCCCAGTGGTACGAAAAGGAATGACACATAACATCTTGTCTCTGGGCCCCAAATTCCTGATCTTTCAAGCCAATGCTCCCTTTTACAGCTGTCCAGCTCTGCCAGCACTTCTGCAGAAGACAAGGATGACAAAAGCAGGCTGAGCTGTTTCCATCTGTGGGCAGCAGCACCTGGCACTGCCTCCACACTCGAAGGCAAGGAGCAGTGTTTCCCTGAGCTGTTTCTTAGGCTCACCATAGGCACAGGGCAGCACTTAGAGAATTCCCAGAACATTTGGATACCTCACAGCTGATTCCTAATTGCACTTTTTGGCTTTACCTAGAATTCTACTTGAGTTTTCTGCTCTACCCATAAGAGCACTTAGACCATATGAGGAGCTTCTGTGGAGTTTTATGCAAACTCTGCCATTCTGAATGTTTCCTTCCTCTTATTTTTACAGGCTTACATAGTTTACAGGGGTACCAGTAAGAGGTAAGAAAAGCATCTGGTAGAACAGATGTACGTTCTTCAGTAGCTCTTAACTGGTGTGTGAATTGAAAGACTATTAACATTTTTTGGACCATTTTTAACTAGGGTTGTGGAGTTATTTTTAAACAGTTTAGATTTTTTTTATTTCACCTTTTAAAAATATTTTTTACATGTTAATTAATGTATGTCTTTTAAAATAATTTTTTTCTAAGTGATGATGAGAAAAATTCTAGGAAAATATTTTAAAGAGGTCATAATAGCTGGAAGAAATTTTAATCTGCACAAAACTCTAAATATGAAAGCATTAAGGTGAAATTGTCTTAATTGTCATGAAAAATCAAAATGCCTGCTAAGTTTATCAGGAAGACCAAAGAATTTTGAGTGTGATATTTCAAATGAAACAAATCTGTACATAAAAGAAAATAACATGCTGGTTTGAACATTCAGAATCAGAAATCACTAAGCTGCACAGGATTCCTGTAAACAGGAACTGTAAAAAAATCCCCTCATTCTGTATGTTTACTGATGCTTATGAATTCTAGCCTAGAAGTGCACAAATTCTTTGCATTTCCTTTTCCTTAGATTCTCACTGCTTTGAAGCTTCTCCTCACTATTATCTGCTGATTTTTCTTCATCCCTTTATGCAACCCTTACTCCATGGTTTTTCTGCCCGGTTCGATGTGGGCTCGTTCACCACTAATCAAACAGCACATGTTCTAGTCCACTCACACAGTCCTGATCACATTTCCACTGGAAAGAGCTGGAAGAAGCTTTAATTTCCATATTTCCAAGTACTTCAAGCCCTCCTTCCCCCCTTCAAGACGTCATGGTTGCAGTTTGCCCCACTGGTACTCACGTGTGTTAATCTTCTGCAGGGAAATGTGTTTTTCCAACTGACGCCGTAACTTGACTTCAGCTCCATATTTACCTAACGTGCCGTTGTCTGCCAGAATGAAGTGGGTGTGGGAACTGTTGAGCACAGAGAGCTTACTTAAAGGGTTTGACATTGTTTGGTAAACTCGTGTTACCTGTGTGTCAAGAGGAGAGATGCACCTAGATTAGAACTAAGAATCAAATGGGAAAATGCCTCACACCACCCAGCAGAGGAACACTCAGAGTCTTCTGAGGAAACAAACCAAGCAAACCTCTATAAAAACCAGAGGAGAATTAGAAATGGAGCTTGCTCTTACATTCCAAATCTGTTCTCCTGACAGCACTGTTTTCTTTGGAGGATGACAGTCAGATTGTGCTCTCCCCTGCGTGTTCCTCTAAGCTCATTACCATGCTCTCCTTGTTCACACACCGTGTTGTTACATAATCCTCTTAGTGCATTAGAAAATACATTCTCATTTGGAGTTCCTAGTATTTCATATGCCACTCCAGAGTACCCACCTATAATAGATGCCAGCCTTGCACACATAATAAGGCCCTTATGTGATTTACAGATGGCTCAGAGAGCCACACTGAAGTTAGGATGCAAAACTGTCACCAAAGAGAGGTCTTTACTAATGAAAGCAATGGAAACCTCACCAATTCCATATTTACTTTGAGGTCATATATGACAACCTGAGAAATATTCTTAAACAACAGGTTTTCTCAAGAAATTGTTCAATTTCACCTTCTAGGCCTGCTTTAGAAATGTAAAAAAGTAGTATTTCAGAAATACTACCAATGTATTTTTCACACAGCTGTTTCCTCAAACACTTACATCTTTTCCTATTAGGTCTTCCTTGTTTTCTACAATGCCCCACGGTGCAATTCCTATGGCACATATTCGTCCTCTGGATTTGGAAGAATGGTCTTTCAAGGCATCTCCCACATGACGAATGACACCTATAGGTACAATTAATTTAATTCATTTTTGGCACTTTAGATTGATCACTAAACAGAATTTTCTTCTTGCCTCTCAGGGAGCCACTGTGTTCACCACTAAAGTGGTACTGGTACTTTATAGTAGAACATGCAATGCAGACAACCATGCTTTTATTTTTTAATGGTTGTGCTGTGAGTCCCATCACCTTCTCACATCATTGTGCTGAAATCAGTGAAGTCTGTGGAAGACTTACCTCATTACCAACTTGCCACACTGTAATCTGTACCCTTGTCTGTCTTGAGGTATGTTATTCATTGGACACAAACCATGACAGTAGGAAACACACTTTTAGTAATAAAATGATCTTTGTACAAAAAAACCCCACACCAGAGCTAAATTTGGAGTAGGAAACTTCTTAACTACAAGGATAACCAAGCACTAAAAGAACTGTATTAGAACTAGTGGTAGATTCCTTGCTACTGGAACCAAGGCTGAAATTTGTTTTCAAGGGAAACACCAAGTAATGCAAATCAATACTGACCCAGGAAAATCTTATGGTCTGGGCTGGGTAGGAAATTAACACAAATGATTACAATGCTCCTTTTTTGGTCTAGTGGGTAATGACTCGTTCATGTAGACTTAAATCTTCTGCCTGTGGGAAAGATTAGTGAATGAACACAACTGAATTCTTAAGTAAACGAAAAGTGATGGCAATTACTTACCTGTACTAACACCGCCAGTGAAAATCCAAGCTCCTGTGGTCATGGCAGCCTTTATCAGACCTTTTCCAAACACTTGCTTTAATTTTGGTTGCATTTCAAAGTTCTGGAGGCCTCCATGGACAGAGATTAAGAGTTTGGGCAGTTCCAGTTGCCAGTCTTTCACCATGAGATGCAGCAGAGAATCTGGTTTGGTGTCATAGGACACACGGATGTACTGCAAAGAGCAATGTGCAATGCTGTCACTCAACCTGCTCTATAAATAGTCTGAGCAAAGAATGGTTACTGCTTGCCTTTCATCCTGGAGAGAGACTTTTACAATTTTCAAACAAAAAAAACAAACCTAAGCTTGGATTTCTTCAGAAGAGAGGAAAAACAAAGAGAATTTTTGCAGAAGTTTGAACTGCTGTTACTTTTACTGCTAAGAAAACTCAAGAGCCTGTTGAACACCAGATGAATAAATACCTTAGAGTACCCTATGCCCCTTACCATGGCCTTATTTGAATGTCCTCCTCCCTGGAATTCCAGGTTTCCATAGGCATCTGTTGGGTATGCTTGGGTGTGTTTACTGACAGACCATTTCTCTGGCTGAGCTTCCACTTGCTTCGTTTCTTCCTCATTTTTATTAGCTGTTATACTTGGAGGAGGTGGAATGTGTTGGTTAATGAGCTGGCCACAGCAGCACCTGGAGGTTAGAATTGGAAGTGACTTTGATTATAGTATCTTAAAAATAAAATTAAAAAAAAATTAGGTTTTCAACTGCCCAAGTTTTGCTGTACACGAATAATAGAAACACCCCTCACATACACATATGTGCCAGAATTAACAGGCTTAGGTGGTTTTTAACATGCAAAGATAAAAAAATTCACTTCCCTTGTGTTATGCACTGGAAAGCTGTTCTAGGTAAAAGGCCAGGCAAGGAGGAAGAATGCAGAACAGGAGCACTGACTCCCTGTTCCTTACTTAGAGGTTACAGCTTGCACGTGACATTAACTGTTCTGTTATCCACACAAGCTGGACCACAACATGCAGCTAGGCCATGGAGTAATATTAATATTTAGGCTAAGAAATCAAATCCCCCCATCTCCTATTGCCATTGGTAATATCACACTACCTGCGAAGGATGGTACCACGTTACTGCACCCTTGCTTTCAGAATTCGGTATGAATCTATTAAGGTTTGCAAATTTAGGAGCTAACAACTGACTGCCTCCCCTGCTGCCAGCCTTCTCATCCCCGTGTGACATGTCCCATGGCTCTGTGCAGACTGGAGTGCAAGCATGACTTGTGCTTTTGTTCCCCTGTCATCTCCCTTTACAGGCAGTGACTAAACTGGGTTTCACACATCTAAACCCAAACTAAGTGGAGTTTCTCTGGTATTAAGCTTTTCTGTTGAAACAAGAATTTCAAATTGTACCTGGTAACGTCTTTGTTGTTGGCAATTATATAGATGCATTCTCTTTTAGAAAAAGTCTTCTCTATCCAGGCCTTCTGACCCTTAAAAGAGAGAAAGGGGAAAAAAATTGTACTGATATATTTCTGTGTGGCAGATACAGCAACATTCACCTTCTATTTTCAGCTGAATTCATTGTATCAGTTTTAAACACCAGATATATCTTCTCATGAAATGATGTGAATTTCTATGACTTGGATAAAATTAAAATCTCAAATGTCTGTAAAAACCCTTCTGTAGAAAGATGATGGTCTTGAAGTTTCAAGGTCTACCAAAAAATGCACTTGCTCCTTCCTACTGCAATAAACAGTAAATGGACTCAATGTAGCACAGAAAATCAGCATAAATTGTGAAATAAATAGATAATAGTATTTACTCAAAAAAATGCTTTAGTATCATTCTTTATATGCAGAAAATGCTCCTCAATAGCTTTCTCTTCATAATTATCTTCTCACATATTTTTTTCCTATTGTAAATCAAGTTCCAGTCTTTCCTAAGGCATCTTACTTTGCATGAGATGTGTCTTGGAAGGAGGCATTTTAAATTTAAAGACCCTGTGACAGTAAAACCACGAACTCTTTGGGTATCTGTGAAACAGGAGGAAGAAAACGACCTTCAGATTGTGTTGGCCTATTATCCTGCTTGCAAACCAATTTTAAAAAGTGAATTCAAAGAAGCCTTTTAACTTTAAAGAAATGAAAAATGTTAAAAAGCACTCACAATTTGATGACACTGATACCTCTGCCTCGCTGATAAAAGTTGCCTCTTCTGAGTTTGAATGATGAAATTGTCTTTTCAAGTTGCAAGCAAATACAACATTTGCTTTAGTTTATGCTATGGAAGTGAAATTAAATTTTTGCAGACACAGAAGCTAAAAATGACACAAGAACTTTCAGTCTAACTTAAAAAACGAAAAGTAAAGGGACTTTTCCTAGAGAAAGAACTAAAAACCTTGCTGATTTTGACTTAAGAAAGTCAGCTGCAGCCGCTTCGAGACCAGCCAAGCTCCGAGTGCTGCACAGGCTCCAGCACGATGAACAGAGGTTTTCATAGCTCATCTTCTGCCTCATGCAAGGCAAGGGCTGTCTCTGAATCTCCTTTGTCTGCTGACTTGTTGCTTCCCATCTGGCTTCTTCATTTACTCCACTATGTCTAAAATTATAGGGGACTACTTGAAGTTCCCTCATTGCAAGGAAGTTGTCAAACCAAGCTTCTGCTTCATTAAAAAGGTGTCCATAATTGCTCAGGTACACAAACATCCACCTCTCTCAGGTGCCTCTGAGCCAGTCTGGGCAGTCAGTGGCCTGGGAGACCCTGCAGTTCTGCTCTCCACTTGCATCTTGCTGATTTACCAAGGCAGAACCATCTCGTGTCATTTTAGAAGGAGCTGTTTGGGACCTCACGGCACAACAGTGAGGAAGAAACAACAACTCACAGACAAAACTTCCTGCAGCTTATAACTTTACTTGCTTTTCTGAATGACAAGGCATGTATCTCAGGCATTTAGCATAAAGGGCTTCGTCATGTAGCAAAATAAGAAGGAAAAGAGCATTAAATTTAATACTGAAAGGCTGTGGGACTTAGTCAGCTTTTCTGTCTTGACTCCACAAATTCCTTCTTCAAATGAAACTAAAGAGCCTTACTTCAAAAATTATTAAGAAGGTTCTTTTCATACACCTTCTGGCAAGGTTTTACAACATGACAAATTTTGGCAATAGTATTATTTGAAGTGGAGCTCAGAAAATGCTTTTGTTCTGTAGCATCAGAGTACAGTTCTAGAAAAATCCAGAGAAAACATCCCCAACAGCGAGATCCATGAGGCTCTGTGGTATGTGGAGGTGGGTGGTTAAATCAAAGAAATACCATTTACCTGCTCAGAACGAGACCTTGCTACTTCACAGGTATTCAGGCAGTTCAAAATATTCAGAGACCCAAAACCAGTCCATTTGATTTGAATTACAATAATTTTTCAAAATTAATCCAAAGCCACACAAATGTACAAAGTGTACAAATTCACTGCTGTTTAACAACTATGTCCAGTGTTGTTTCTTCTCATATACACCATATTAGTTAATGAACTGTAACATTATAAAATGAGCTTAACAGGAACCTGTTACAGAGCTTACATAATTTCTGTACTTCTAAAATGGTACATATTTATCTTTTAAATAATTTGGTTTTATTATTTTATATCTTCTAAACATATTCACTTTCCCCCTTGACTGAAACTTCTGACTTCTGTGTGGTCTCTGATAACTCCTTGATTAAGTAACATAAAAGCTCAAATCACAGTGCAGGAAACACTTTTGACAATAAAAACCATAACAGATGCTGCACACTTAACTGTTCTGTAGAGAATACTGGAAAATGCAACCTAGAAATATCAAATCAGTTTGGGTTGTTACACCACGCCAGTGAATACTGCTTTACCTTATTCCTCGTAGCTTACCAAAGCACAGAGATTCTTTTGCTGTTTTGGGCATGGAAAAATAGTTAATTAACCATTGGATTAAGTCACAGACTTAACATCTGTGTTTGGAAGGAAGCTTTTGCATCTTGGTATCTAAAAGGAGCTCTACAAACAGCTGAACTCTCAGCTGTGCAGTTGCTCCTAAAATCCTTTCTCATAGGAGGTCTGTTATCTACTGCTACAGTTTTTTGGAAAAAAACTTCGATACTCACCCCCAGAGCCCCGCTAGGAATCAGCCGCTGCAGGCACTACAGAGGGACAACACATTATGCTCTACTGGCTTATTTCTCTGTGCTAATGAGAGGAAGGCAAAAGCAGGCATTACAGACCGGGGAAATAAAAACCTCAGCACATTTGGTCAGCCTTTGAAGTTTCACTGCTTTTGTCTGTTTAATCTGCTTAACCAAAGCTTCATTATAATCCAGTGCAAATACTTGAGCAGAAACATTTACTGTCAGAAAATGGGCACTTTCTTCACTTACTTTTTACAGATTTTGTACATTTCTCTCTCTGGATTGAAAAGCTCTTGGTCTTTCAAGGAAAAATATAAATACACATACTGTCTCTTGTGGGTTTGAAAAAAAATAAGCACTTTTTAACAGCCTCGGAATGGAAGAATTGTTAAAGAACTATGATAGATCAGCTACAGTTTTCAGATCAACAGCCAGTGGTGGTTTTCCACGCACCTCTGAAGAAAACAAAAAAAAAGCAGATCCCAACTTGTTGACAGTAGTGAAGTTCAAACTTGCCCATTACTGCAAATCCTGAATGTATTAATTAGAACCTAGTTTTGAAAAAAACACATTTCAGATGTTCAGCGGTATATTTGTTCTCCTTTATGTAAACTGGCAACAGGTCTCCTAAGCTATGACAAAAAACAACCCAAACCACTGATATTTTGTGTACTTCAGCCTAGAAACCAGTATGTTTCTCAGTATGCTGCTGAGAAACAGCATGAACTAATATTGGATTTATATTATTCCACTATATGGTTTTGCTAATTGTCTTTAGCATTATAAAATTATCCTCCTGCAGAAACAAAATGAAATCGGTATAACTGGTTTGTAAATCACAGAGTAACAAAATCAAGACCCTAAACCACTAGTAACCTTGCTAATACATGAACTAATAAACACAAGTTCTACAAAGACCAAATATCTTTTGACTACTGCAAATTAATTACTACTGCAAATTAATTATTTGCTGAGAAAAAGGCAAGTCTACGGCTGCAGCAACTGAAGAGAATTTTCTCTCCCACACATAGATAATTTCAGTTTTCTACTAAATTAATATTAAATTTTACGTATTTCACTTCATATATAACCAAGCATTCAGTGCACAAGAACTGGGCCTGAATTTCAGGCTGTACCAAAACAAATCCTGCAGCCCTGTTTCACTGCAGCTTTATGCAAGAGCACAGGTGGGCTATGCAGCAATAAATACATCCTTGGTGAATCTCTAAGGTGGGAATCCAGACAGGAGAGGAGGAAAGCCACTGGAAATGTCATGCCACAAACTCTTCCATGACATTGTGTCACCAGAAGCTGTGAATTTCAGTAAAGATACACGCCTGCAGGATGGCACAGTATTTAGTGATTGCGATGAATGTAACGACGAGCAAAAGAAGTGCAAGAATTTGGGGAGTGACAGGGGGCAGGGATGAGAGTCTGTTGTGCCACTGGAGCAATCCAAAGCCCAGGCTCAAGCAGGTCTGCAAGCAGTACTGAGCTCTCTGAGCTCCAATGACCCCCGGAGTGCTGCTCCTTGAACAGGAACTCCTGTCCTTGCTCGATGGCTTGGCTCGCTTGAACTGGGGACAGGATGGGACGGGGCTTTGGCCTCACCTTGTCACTGCAGGGCACCTGCTGCCACACAGCTCAGAGGCACCTGGGGCCCCAGGAAGGAGCACGTACTCCACAGCTGCTGCACTCCAGAGAGGTTTTGCCTGGGCCAGGCCCAGCTGGTCAGCAGGCACGGTGCATTGATGGGGACTGGACATGCAGACAGTGCCTGGTGCACAAAGGCACTGAGGGAGTAGGCAGGGAACCAAACAAATGTATGTCATGAATAATACAGGGTTTGACAGAGCTGTTCAGGCTAAGTCAAGCACAGAATAATACAAAAATGGATCTGGCTGGGCAGCAGAGCTTACATCTGTGGACTAGTACAAATTACTTTGACCAGCATCTTGTTAAGAAGTGGACTGATTGTTGTCATTTGTGGAAACATTAATCTGTAGCCCTGTTAACACCATCTGACCAACTTTTCAGGCAATCTTCCTATGGCTTGCAATATGCTGCAGAAAAGGTGGCATTACCAGGGAATTCAAATCTCAACTGCATTGCCCAATTATAAAATTAAAATGCTCTACAAAATTAAACTGGGATATTTATGCTAGATTTGAGCACAGGGACGTTTGCTTTGATGAGACAGTGAGAGAAAGAAGTAATCTGATTGTGAAATGAAATTCATACCAAGAGCATGTGCACTCTTACTTAAAAGAAAGTAAATAAGACTAACAAACAGTTGGGAGAAAAAAGAAATAATTACATAGCAGAACTTCTGTTATCTGGAACTTAAATCTTGACATGAGAACAATTTCTATTTTGTGCTGCCTTTAAATGCAACATCCCAATTACACTATTCATCATCCTTCTTCACTTTGAAGGACCAGTTTTTCCAAGTGCCCAACTAATTAATCTTTCAGGTGATTAGTTCTGCCTAGAAATTACTTTCCTCCTAATAACAAGGTCTTGCTCAGAGAAAAATCCTCCAAACTATGTCATGTATGTTAATAGCCAATCCTGTAGCCACTCACAAACTAGTAAGATTTTACTGAAAAGTTCTTCATTGCTAAATAAGTACAGGGCATGAAACTCATAATACTATTTTGAATTTGTGTTATGCTCCGAAGAAGCCAGAGCCATGAACAATGTCCCGAAATACAAAACACAGCAACAGCCTATGAATCTACTAAATATCCAAAACTCTCATTAGCATAAGTTCTATCAAAAATCTATTTGTAGAACCAAGAATAGCTTTAGTAATTATTAGAATATGAAGTACCAAACAACACCCAATAGCAAGAGGATCACTTATATTTTCTTTCTTATATGAGCATCAAGAAGGGATTTGTAACAGTTTAAAGATTCTTTCAAATAAAATCCTATTTTCTCAACAAAATTCTTATTCTTAGTGATAGAAGAGTTCTATCAGGTCTTATATATGATCTGGAGACAGTCAGCCTGCTGTGTTTTTCATATTGTTCAATTTGAACCCATGCTCTTACAGCAACTTTGTCAGGGAACCACTTGTTCTGTGGTAGAGACTAACACACACCAGGCAGGTTGGCAGTGTCTGTAAGCAAGGCAAGCAATGTTGTTATTTCAAACTGAGGCCAGAAATCCCTCCTGCTGCTGGTGTGCAAACCAGAAAATGGTGCTACACTGCACAGAGAGCTTTCATGGCTTCATTACACTCTGTACTCCTGGGGAGGCACAGCAAACATCTGCTGGAAAAAGAAAATTATTCCATTTCCTCTCTGTGTTCATTAACTGAGGGACACAGTTTGCAAAGTATGCAAGTAAGAAGTAACAAGCTCCTTTCTCCAAGCTAAGAAGATTCTGCTTCATCTCTGAGAGACACACAGCACTTCCCCAGAGGCTTTACAATGTGAAAAACAGCTACAGCCTCCACACCCCAGCAGACTGGCTCTGAAATGGTGGAGATCCCCAGCTCCAGCACAGAGCCCATGGAGGCACCGGAGCAAAGTGTGTTGGATGAGCTCCTACAGAGAGGCATGCACAGCCAGCACTAATGTAACTACACTGCTAGTGAAACTATAATAAAGCAACTTAAAGAACCATTTGGGGTGCACTGCAGCACAGCCTGGCTCAGCACATGCCTGGGGAGAACATACCCTGTGTAGTTTTGCAATACAGAATTTTTCTGTGTGGAATACAAAAGAAATTCACTGACAACCTTACACACCACATCTACCATATTTTAAGGAAGCAAAAGGCATTCCTGCAACAGTTTGTCCTTTCCCTTACTGCACCAAATTTTAGGGAAGACATGCCAACAATAATGTTAATCTCCATTTGTTACTTATTCCAGTTCTGTTAATACCTTGCTAAATCCTCCTCTTGCCTTCAGCCATTCTGTCTGGATGCTTGGGAGATGGGGAACACAAACACCAACCTGCACTGAGCCTCTGCACCTTTCTCCCAAAGCACCTTCAGCCCACAGACACTCCATAGGCCAGTTTTACTCCCAGATCTTGCACACTAACCAAGCCATGGGAAGTGGTGAGCAACTTCACCTAAGTGACTCTTCTCGAGAGGTCTGATACAGCAGGATGGATGAGCAGGGAGAGACAGTAAGCAGCCTCTAACATTATGTTAGCCAAAGTAGCCTGGTAATTACTAGTTTCATCTGTAACATAATTTTGTTGGTAACTGTTATTTAAATATTTAAGATGACCCTGGTATCTAGTTCTGACAAGGCTCAGGAATGTTTTTTGTACTGTAACTATTATCTGACTTGGCTAATGTAAAGACTGCTAGATCATGGTTTTAAAAGAAGTCAGGGTGCTTCCAGATTATTTGCATGTGGGCTATTTCTCTTAAATTATTCTAAACTCTGGGACTTTAATACAGGCCATTCATTCTAACCTGAAATATAAAACTGCTATTATAATGAAAACCCCCGGGATTCAACACCCCCAACAGCAAACCTTCGTGCAATTCATCAACACACATGAAATCATGACCAACATGACAAGGTACTTCCCTTAATACAAAACTAAGCCTGAGAATAGTTCTCACATACTTAACTCATTCTTCTGATTATTTGTGATTTAGAAAATTGTGTCAATAGATGTCAAGCATGCCTGCAGAAAAGACTAGCCCACACTTACATGCAGATACAAAAAACCATTGATTTGGACTACAATATTGCCTCCATCAGTGAGATCTGGATCATTCAAGTCCACATTATTAAGCATAATGACTATTAGAGTAGAAATAATCAAAGATGTACTTGCTGTTTGGAAAAGGACTAAAAGTATAAGGACTTCTTTGATATATGAGATCACAAGTTCCTAGTGCAGAGAGAACTATACAACTTCTGACAAGTCAGCCTGTCATGCTGATTTTTCATACATGACATAATAGTATAGTTTGAGACCTTTTTCTTTATGAAATAGGGCAAACCAGAAGTGTAAAATAACTGAAGAAAATGACTACATGTTGTATGGAACAATACTTATCTATGAGAGTTTGCTCTAAATGCACAGTAATTAATACTGCTTGAAGTACAAAGCACACTAAACAGCTGGGCTTGAAGAATTCTTTACACTGACACTTTCAAAATGTGGTGACAAAAAACCAGTACTTAGGGCATACTGAGATGCATATCAGCAAAATGTACTTCAAAATTGCTATGAAGCAACATTTCTATATTCACAATATAAAGAATATATGAATGTCTCAGAAGTCTCTAAATTCTGGAGATACTGAACAAATACATATTTTGAGAAAAGATACTATAAACATTTAGTTCTCCTGCATACTGTGAATATGCACCCTTTTTGCAAATATGCATGTAATACACTAGTTAGCCAATCTGTCTCTGGAGAAATTAACATCAGTTTGCAGCACTGTTTTCCAGACAGCAAGATTCTTCAGGTAGAATTCTGTTAAAGAGTTTGGGCTGCCGAAAATTTGCAACTTTCTGTGGCTAATTTCACACTGAATAGAGCAATTTTTTTCTGGGCATTAGCTATGACCTAAAACCTTTAATAGAATATGCCACCATCAGATGCATTTTATTCCCTGCTTCTTTCTGTCATTTTCGTAAAAAGAATTTCCAGCTATTTAAACTCTTGGGTTGCAGGGTTTGCACAAAATTATTTCTCATAATCTTTCAGAAATCCTTATAAAAGCACTGGAATTTAAGGTTTAAATTATTTTCTGCAGACTCAAAATACTAATGTTTGAAATATTGCATTACGTATACCAGGGAGTTGCCAACATTCATTGGGAACTTCCTGAAAACCCAAAGATTTCAGGGCTGAAATAATTACAGAGGGTGAGGGCAAAGGGAGGTTGCAGAGCTTACAGTTTTCAGAAAATTTCATCAATCTTTCCAGTCCTTATGCAACTAAAACCCATGAAGAGGTGAGTGAAGAGAACTAATAGGTGCCACAGAACAGAAAACAGTATGTCCAGTGATGTTCCTGGACTTTTTTATCATGGTGTGCAGCATATTGTTCCTTCTCTTTAAAATGCTTGCCACAGTCTATCCATGATTTGAATTGAAGTGATAGTGGGGAAAAACTATAACAAAAGTTTCCATTTTCTGGATTTAATCCGTTATCAAAAATGGAAAAGAAAACGTTAAAATCCTGAATTAGAGGAGCTAAAGGAGACTGGAACAGGCCAGGAGTGGTTTCCATGGCTGTCTCTGGCTCAGCAGGTGCCTGCTCAGGGCCAGTGGGACCCCAGCAAGGGGCAGGAAGGACACGACAGTGCATGGGAGCTTCTTTGGGGCCGTGCTTCCAAGAGCTGGGGGGTAAACAAGGGCCAAACCTGGGCTTCCTTGGCTCCTCAGTCTCTTGAAAGATTGGTGTGTGAATACTCAGAGATCACAATCACAGGTAGGCTGGGGCTCTGAGACCTCTCACCTCCCAGCACAATGAGCCTGATGGCAGGAAGGCATTTCTTCACACGGCAGCAGCAGCACTGCGGGTGCAAACGCGATGGGGCTGCTGATGTTTGTTCAACATCTTTCACTGGGGAACCTCCTTTGTGGCCAGCGCTCACTGAGGTGGGGAAAAACACCATAAATTCTGCCCTCTTCCCGTTCCAGAACTTCCATAATACCTGACCTACCATGAGGCCTTGATAAACTCTCCTGGAAACAAATACACCCACAAAGAAGCTTGCTCATCAGAAGGCGTATTGCCACAAAACAGATCCAGAATATTACTGGCTATTTTTGAAAACTCAGAACAGCCCCCAAAAAATGAAAGGTCACAACCTACAAAATAAAGAAAACCCCAGAACCTCCATCCCCATTTTCTGCAGAGGTAGATGGAAATTAGCATTCAAAATATTGAAATGTGTAAGGTACGTGATGTTTCTTTGCCAGCATTTCTACATCACATTACAATCACGCTCACGCAATTTTTAAATTTTGAGGTGTTGAGACATCATTTTTGGACCTGAAAACTCACTTTGTCTTCTTGCAGCTAGTACTTCATATTTCACATCCTTCAAAATGAGAAATCTAAGAAGAAGTCTAATCAGAACACTGTAAATTCAAGGGAATTATCTTTCTCCCATCAGCTGCAGGTCACTACGCAGCTCTTCAGCACAAATTTCAGTTGTGCACATCGCTGTGACAAAAGGCAGAAGACTATCAGGAATGAAATGAAAAATTATTTAAAATCATGTCCTACCTGCTTGTCCCTGGAAGTGTTTCAGAGTTTGGAAAGATGAATTACAGCTAGAATAAATAAGTGCATTTAACTCTGCATTTCTGTCCAATCTCTGTTTATTGTTCAGACGTCTCATTCATCTTACTGTTAGGACTTCCAGTCTCTGAAGTTCATGAGAATTCCCAAGGAGATGGGTTTCCACCACTTTAAGAAGAGAATCTCATATGATAAGCATGTGAGCAGCTTCTTTGTTCAAACCAATCTCATGACTCCCTTTGAAGGTAATCCTTTAGAAGTCTCATGACCCATCTCTCTGCCCAGAGGGTATTTTCATCTCATGGTGGAACAAGGCACAACAAATCTACTTTGATAGTGCCCAAATCTCCAATTTGTTAAACCTCCTTTCCTCTCTTCAAACACAGGATGTACTTGCTGTAAAAATGCCGGCACTGCAGAAGGGCTAAAGCAGGAGCTGAAACTTTTAATTTGAAGTATCCCCTCCCTTCTGCTAAAATATCAACGCTATTTGCATAATTGAGACAATTGGACATAATAGTCCTTTCAGGGGTCCTCATTAGATGTACAGCTCTACATTCTTTGAAAAGAAGAAAAAAGGAGGTCATACAGCATTAATTATATCTAATCCTTTTTAGAACAATTTGAAGTTGGGCAAAATGCTGTACTAAAACAGCTGAAGTCGTAAATAAGCCATTAATTTTGTAACTTTACATATCACATGCATTTTCATACCCTGTTGCCTTTGTCAATATAATTAATTCCTTTGCTGACAAGGGCTTTTTTGCATCTTCTAATACTTTAAAACCATCAATAGCACAGGACACTGTGTGTTGCAGGTAGTTCTTTGTTCTAACTTTCAACATTTGCCTTGATGAGATAGGGGCCAAAATAATTTCCATAATGCAATAGATGAGGGTGAGATCCAGAATCACATCTAAGGATCCTGCTGTCTGGAGCTAAAGGCTGCCTGCCTGCTCCTGCTGCACGGTATTGTTAGATTCTAAACTTATTTCCCTGTTTCTATAACTTATCTCCAATGTATTGAACACATACTTGCCTGTGGCTGGCAACAATATATTTTACAGATATAATTTCAACTTCTGTCTGCCCTAAGTGGCAAAGTGTGCAGCTGAAACAGCTTCGGTTTAGAACTAGACCCTGGGCTTCCTAGTGAGACAAAGTTACTGCAGGCTTAGAAAAAGGATGGAGGATGAAAGATTCTTCAAAGGTCAGCACAGAAATGGAGGGAGGGCATACAATGAAGTCCACAGATGTTTCTTTTTCCAGTGGAAATCAAATTTGAGAGGCCTTTATGGATGTCTGTTACCTAGAATGTGGGGTACTCTGTGAGCTAGAAAAAGATGACCCATTGGACAAGAAATATTATCAAAGATACATAAGCCAAAAAATTAATACAAAAAGGTGATTTGGGCACTTAACTCCCCTCTAAAAATGGAATGTGGACATGGAATGTGGTGTGTTTTTTTGGATATGTACTCTATAGAAGTGGAAGTTAATTAGCAATTATTTCCTCTCTGCTGCTGAACAAGTTCTCCTTGGCCAGCCATTATGTAAGAATGGGAGTTGTATCTAAAGCACCTACGTTTGTAAGGCACA